TAGTTCATCCCAAAAGACATCTCTGGTGGTAAGTTTGTCCTAATAGATGCACACTTAGTATGGAAAATTAATATCACTTTGAGTGCGAAACAGTGCATATGGTGAACATGGTATTTCAATTAGCGGGCCCTTTGTTCTATGGAGCTGAAGAGTTGTCACTGGCTGAGAAGTGGGTGGTTCTTTAACAAAGGAATTAGATCCCAGGAATTAACACAACCACATCTGTTTATGTCCCTCAGGGACCAGCATTGCTTCACAGTAGATCTCCATGCACCAGCAGCAGCCAATGGGCAGAACAACTGTCCTACTGCTACATACACAGAGCAGTTGTCCTACAACTGACGGCAAGTCAATGTAATACTCCACAAAAACTATTAAACTATGTAATTTTTACCAGGTAAGGCCCACTGAGCTATTCAGCTCTTTTCAGAAGTGACCTGGCTACAAATGATAGCTCAACGAAGTTGCTTATCATGGGGAAATTTATAGCAGCCAAATACTCGAGATGTAGACCCAGAGGAAAAATGCACTCGACCATGGGGAGAGAAACATGCAAACTCCAAACATACAGCAGGCGTCAGGGTCGGGATCAAACCCCCGACCTTCTGTATGCGAGACAAGGTGGTTAACATCTCCCACCGAGGCAGACCCGACTGTGTCGAAGAGACACCCAAAAATTGTTCAACAAAGATCATGCTATTATTGAGTCCCTTCAAAGTGAGAAAGTTTTATTCCGTCGATGACAGAACCTTTAAATAAACAGTATCGCACGAACAGTAACCCAATACTGAGGCAGTAGTCAGTCGTTGCATAGATTGAATATAATTCTGGTTTTAGTAGTGGGGGGGCAAACTACGTGGATCCGATCCGTAAACTAAACAATAACCACCGTGAACCATTCATTAGGAGGATGCCCCTGACTTCGACAGTTCTGCTGCGCCCCTTGGCAGAAACCCATTATGGGAATGAGCACTGCATCCCAAAAGAATGGAGGGTAAGGAAGGTCAACAAGAAAGCCACCTGCTCCGAGCTGCAAACTCTGAATTGGTTAATGTTTTAAACTCGACTTTCAAAACTATTCTACGGCTTCAGAAGGTGGCCTGTTTGACTGTAAAACGTGTTACAAACGTAAGCAGCCAGCTACAGTACTTTTTAATGTTGCGAATGTGCACGTGTGTGTGTGTGAATGTGGGAGTGAGCGTTACGTGAATATGTAATTGCACGCGTGTGTGTGTGTGTGTGGGAGCGTGAGAGGGTTCTGTGTAAGCTGCTGGCAAAACCCCATTCTTAGCACAGCGTTGGGTTTAACACGATTGGCGAAGAAGTGGCCTCCCAGGAGAGTGGGGTTAGTGTCTGTGAGTTGGGACAATGGAAGTCTGGGCAGGCATATGCTGTCACGCCTCCATCTGTTAGCTAACATTTAGGAATGAAACATACACACACTCCTGACCCCTGACCCTGGCTTGCCACTTTCATTCTGCAGCATATGCCCTGCCTTTTTCAGCTTCATGCAGCCCAGGCAAAACGACCGCTTCACCTTGCTCTGAGGATACAGCAATGAGCTGGCACGTATAACACCAAAGCACATCGTAAGATGACAGTGATAGGAGAGGTGGTCAAAGTGCCTGAGAGGCCAGGGTATCGAGCTGGCATTGCTAAGTTCCTAAGTTCGAATCAGGCAGCTGCCTGTGTTTTACCCGGGTTTTCAACTGCAAGGGAGTCAACAGTCTCGGCCTGGTCACCATTGACTGCACAAAACAAAAACCTTTGGTTCTGCACTTAATTGCCTAAATTCTATCTCTGACAAATACAAATATTGGTCGGACTGCCATGTGAGGAAGTTTGTTCTCTCACGTGGCACAGTGGGTGAGAAAGTGCTGCCCAATACTCTGTGGACGAGAGGTCACTTGAAGGAATCTCAGAAGAGGTGGCTCTGTGATATCGGCTTTTGTGGGCCATTCTCGAACACGAAGGGCTGCACTTATATAGGAGATGCGAATGGATACTTTGTCTTATGACAATGACACCGATGGCAAAACTGTAACAATATAAGGGGAGGGAATACATGATTTAATGAAGATGATGATAATGAGAATAATTATAAATAAACACCTATATTCATGAGTTACAGCTAGTTAGGACAACCTGTTTCCTGTGTAATAAAAACATTCAGTTACAGACTTTAAGGCCAGATAGGTTTTTTTTTCCTGAAAACAACAGAAACGGAAAGCATGCCATTTTGCAGCGATGGGTAATAAAAATTAACAATAAATCCTAAACAAAAATAAATACAGAAGACATGCGACAACTGCCGTTTAAACAGTAACGTTAACTATAAAAGCAAAAACACATGCTATATTGACATACTTGAGCGAGAAGGGCAGAGTCGCTTATTACGAAAACCCCAAGAGCACGCTGCAGAAAACGACCTGCCAATGTTTGTGAGCGTCCGCATACGTGCAAAGCTCTTACAGTCACACGCATCCTTACACGTGTCAAAGGTGAAGAGCATGCACAGCCATGTGTGGACACGGGCGCTGCATAATACAGCACAAACGCGTGAGATTGTGTGTCACACATAGAGGTACAACCCTCGCAATGGTTTGCTCACGCCACTGCCGGGGGAAGTGTCTCCACTTAAAGGATGCTCTATAGAGACCACCTTTAGAGGGTATCTTGGCTTACTCTTCGAAGATGACTGGACGTCTTCAAGGAAAAGGTGATAAGAGTACTCACATTTTAACCCCACCACGTGTTACCTGCGGTACATGTGTTGTCTTCCCATGTACACTGCTGGCTTGACGGAGGCAGGGGGATTTCAGAAACTTGCTTCATTGTTTCGACTGCCATGCCGGAAGATCGAATCAAACCGGCGACCTCTGGATTCCAAGTCAAATGTGCCCACCATTACATTACGGCAGCGTTCCTACACATCCTACACCGGACACATCTAACAAGATGCACGCTGCACACGGAAGCACGGGACTTCCTCTGGTCTGCAATAAAACGTGCCGGGGGAAGGTTTTTGCTTAATCTCTCCCACAAGAACAGACTACGTTAGAGCAATGAACCCACTGTCCTCGGGAAATGCCTATGAATGACTGAATTCATCTCAACTCTTTATTTTTAACAAGAAAATGTTGAATGCAACGTCCCCTCGTTCGCAATATACCGATGATTTCAAGAAGTTTCCAACGCTCGGCGAATGTGTCTTTTTGTTAGTGAGAATGCAAATGAGCCTCCAACAACTCGGACAACAACAGAATATCCCAGGATGCATCGTAAGCATCGTGTGTGATGCGCCACCAACCAATGAACCTTCGCCAACAACGTTGTCCAGTGGTGTTTGTTTAAACGGGACGAACCATAGTCAACAACTCATTGAATGCTCTTTCAAATGTATGAAGAGGTTTTAGATATTGTGAATTGCTTTTATGCCCGTATTTACTAACTGCTTCATTGGCGCAGTATGCCACTGGTGACCTCCCATTGAACAGAGGTTGAATGGGGGTTTGAAGAGAAAATTCAATAGTCACTTGAAGAGTCCAACTGCCACTTCAACAGGCCCTCTCTCTCACCCATCACCAGCCGATGCACCGTCATCCCCTGTGGGTAACTCTCCATTTGGCAGTCTGATGAGTTTGTAAATTTCCCCTCTCAAAGATGCCACCTTCGACCGAATTAAACACCAGGCTCCTGTGACCAGGCCGAAACAATGCAACTCGCAAAAACACAACAGTTTGTTTAAGCACAGGCAATGAAACCTGGCTTTAAATCCAAGAACCTCAATGTTTTGTGCTAAAATATGCACTACTAGGATGCAAAAAGTGTCGTGTGCTCACGGCAGCATCCCTTGAACATGCAAGAGCATGCATTTGAGGTGCCGCGGCGGTGAGGTGTTAACTACCTCGCCTGGTATACAGGAGGTCGTGGGTTCGATCCCGACCCTAATGGTAAATTTGGAGATTGCATGTTCTCCCGTGGTCACGTAGATTTTTCTCCAGCTCCTCCGGTTTTTGTCTCCGCATTTAAAAACGTGAGTTTAAAGTATTTGGCTGCTATATATTTCCACATGATGATAAGCCACTTCGTTGAGCTATCATTTGTGGCCACATTGCATCTGAAAAAAGAGCTATACAGCTCATTAGGCCTAACCTGGTAAAACAAAGTTTAGTTTTTTTTAACTGCTCATAAAAGTTCAGATTAAGGATGTACGTAAGTAGCAGTGGGACTGCCATTTGAGCATTGAGCAACACGCTGTGATTAAGAGAGAGGAAGCCTCTTTTGACGCTTCCCAGCTCAATGCATTCGCTCCATTTGAAAGATACATAAAAAATGCATCCCTCACAGTGAATGAAATATTCCACGGGAGCATTGTTGGAGAAATGTGGTTGCTTTAAATGTGGTGTAATGAGGGCATTGTAGACTGCACTGTTATATGTTTTATGAGCAGTGCATTCTTTTCGCTGCTTTTAAAAGGTACTATCCTACGTCATAAAAGTGAAGGGATAAGCGAAATGTATCATTCACTAAATTCGCAGAGTGCATTATTTAATGTTACGTACAAGTTTCTCTTTGAGTGATAACTTGATAACCGGACTGCAGCTTTGGAGCTTTGTGCTGGGAGGTGCGAGTAGATTGTTGTGGCCAACTGTACCAAACACACTCCAGCGAGGTCGATGAAAACATCGCAAGACAGCTGGTCCACGTCTCAAGCACCGTGCGTTCTCCTCAGAACAAGAACTGTGGTCGTTTCTGTCACGGAAGCTGCCGAATTCAGATAGTTTGGCTTTCAAATTATTTTGTCATTGAAAAGGCACCCCCCGAATGGTTACGGAGCACATTCAGAAGTACATTCAACTTAAGCAAATCTCACTGAAGGAGAAAATTCCTCATAATGGCAGTGGTTGCACTGGCCTGTAACGTCTGTATCTGTGAATAGGTTACACAGCTACGTTGGTGGAGGGTGGAATGTCGCGATGGCTGTGAATGGGACTCACTCCGCAGGAAGGTGGCGAGGTCATACAGCACGCGGTCATCCGAGCTGCCATCCCAGCGGCCAAGCGCCACGCCATTAAATGGTTGCAACTGAAATGCCTCGCGCTTGCTATCCACCATGATCACCTTGGACATGTCCCGATTGAGACATGAGAGGTCCTGCATATGACACAACACACACACACAGTGCACCAACCATTACAAATTTAGCTTCGTCTCCATTTGTATGAAGTCGCATCATAATAATCAGCAACAACATAACTGTTAAACAAACCAATCAAAAGCCGTGGAATTGCCATTAACTAAAAGGTTCAGTGACATTTAAAGCCAGCACACATCATGTCACTGACAGGTGGTCGGGCCTTGCTTTTCCCGAGCAGAAGGAATGGCAGACAAGCTGCCCCTAGGGAATCGCTAAACAAATACGTGCACAAAGGCATGCACACGCGCACGCATGAATTTGCCAGAATACATGCATGTACGTACAGATCCACGTGTCAGTGTACGCCTCAAAAACACACCTCCACCAAAACACATCGGCACATGCATTTCATGTACCCATGCACTTTTAAATCTGAATAGAAAATTAATTTCTTTACATCTGAATTTAGTGTTTAGTTTGTTGTCCTTCCCTCGCACCTCCAATGAGCAATTGGCTATGTACAGTGCAAAACAATTGAAACATACATACATTCCCTTGATGTCTGAATATCATGCGCGTGTTTTTACATAAAGACGTTCGTGCGCTGTACAGATGGACACCGACTTGTGCGTAAGATCACACAAAGTGGCACCCGCGTGCCACCCGAATAGCACAAAAATTCCCCGTGTAGCCTGTAACAGACTGTTTGGGCAAGTGCTGTTAGTAAGCACCTATGAAGGCCGGCACAGCACACGAGGGGGTGAGTGGCCAGCACCACGCTCGGCCGCCTTTATCTCCCCGGTGGCGATGTTTACACACCAGGTACTCATTTGAGGCTGAGTCGACCTAGGGAGGCCCGGGACCGGTTCAGATAATTGTCACTGGTATTGGCCGTTAGCAGGAATTGAACTTGGGTCGCTGTGTTCGTAGCGCAGCGTGCTAACCGCTATACCAGCGCTCCCCACCATCACACACACACACACAGCGACACATGTTTAGAAGCCACCAATTTCAGTGTGCATATAAACAGCAACACACAAGCACTTATGATGCTGGGAAAACATGCCGAACACATTGAACACAAGCACATGCACTCGAGCGAATATGTTATTACTATCACAGAAACACACACAATAATAGCATTCAGTGACAGATTCAAAAGGGGGGGGGGGGGAGAAGCTATGGAGGAGGCATTGCCCCACTCCCTTTCAACCACAAAAATTGGCATTTTATTGATATTTCCAAAAAAAATACGTTGAATTATTTGTTTTATATTAATGTATGGCCCCTTTTTAAAAAGCTTGAAATTTCGGGATCCTCCCCCGCCCCTGGGATATTTCTAGATTCGCTTCTGATACAACACCATTCATGTACACACTCCCACATACTCTCACACGCTGTACGTGCTTACACACAGGCCAGCGTGCACATACAACAGACACACATGTACACGCCCACGTGGGCAAATGCACACAAATCCAGAAGGAACGCTCTTGCGCGCAGAACTCTTTGCTGTGTCCACCACTCACACAGCAGGCATCCTCCAGGGACGCGGGGCGGCACAAAGGCTGCTCTGCCGACAGATGGTGTGGGCTAAGGCTCGCATGTCCATGCTAATATCTCTAGTGGATTTATTCTCACTTTCCCACACTAATTGTCACAGCTTGAAAACAAAACTCCACACAGCAAGGCAGGCCTGTTTTACATGCAACTCTAAAGCTGCAGACCCCCACCGCCACAGCAGCAGCACGCTGTCTTAGCGGCTGCGTGCAGGACGTGAGGGAGCCATGTTGAGAAACAAGACTTAAGCGTCCACGTAAACAGTTACGTTTATCTCAATTAAAGGTTACCAGTGAAGACGCACGGAGCAGTTGCGACTCCCAAGCACTATTAGCAATTCAAATAAAAAAAGTGGTGGAAAGTCCATGGGCCATAGTAGAATTCGGCGCTGCTAGAGGTGTCACATATTTAGTGACACTTGTTTCTGTATATGGCTAAAGTGGATCAGTCATACATATTAAATAAGCTTATTATTGAACAAAAGTATACAACTTTATGTAACGTGTCATAATATACATATGAAATTAGGTTAATTAATGCTTCACTTTTGTTGATGTATGTTGAACTTCTTTCGTGCCGTACATAGCAAACCGTCCTAATCGGAGGTGCGGGAGAAGCACAACAAACTAAACACAAAAATAAGTTTTAAAGAAATTCGTTTTCAATTTAGACTTAAAAGTGCAAAGCTTAAGTGGCTTCCTAATGTTAAGATGCTTGTAGAGTAGAGTGTAGAGTTGTCATCTCAGGTGGTACCAACAAGTTAACTGTATTGCCTGGGCCCATGGACTACAGCGACTTGAGAGTAGACTTCAAAGACTTTGAGTTGATAATCAAATGGGAAGGCAGAGGAGGGGAATGAGTGTATGATTTCATCAGTACAGAAAAAAGTACTACTTTGTGCGGAAAGGCTGGCAAGGATGCAGTTCGCATGAGCACGTCTGGTACGGAAAACTGGTTGAAGAGGCAACGGCAGGCAACCGAGAAACAACGAGATGAACGAGTGGGTGTGCCGAGTCATAATTCAGATAGACAGCTTTTGATTGGATCCCCAAAAGGAAATGTCAGCGTCGACTCTGATGCACTACTTCACACATGGAAGCTGTGCTCTTTTCCAGAGTAATGATTTGAAAAGTGAAAAGTTGCTATTTGTGAAGCACATATTTTGCATGAAAAATCTAATTACGTTTTTTGGCAGACACCCTGAGCAAAAGAGATTGTGTGAATTCCAAAATACGTTAGAAGAGAAAGAGACGGATATGTTGAGGATCATAATGTTGGGGTCATGGGTAGAAGGAATAAATTAGAAACATATAAGAAGGATATTTTGGTATTTGTACTAGAAAATTAGTTTGTGTCTTAGGTGTACGATAGATGACAATACTGTTTCAGCTCCAATGATTCATCGCTGAAAGGCCCAAAATGAGTGTGCAATGGAATCTATTACATCTGCTGCAGATTTTTGTAGCATCCAGCTTGAGCTTTGAATAAGGAAATGCAACGAAGTGCAGAATCACCAGTGTGAGTGTGAATCACATTTCTTGTTGGGGAAATGAGACGATAACCAAGAGGAAATTGGGTGGGGAAAAAATTAGAGCCCAAAAGTTTCATCAGCATCAATAAAAAATTTGCTTCAGCACGGCACCATTCTGAACAGCGGATAGAATAACCTGTCAGCAAAAAACACGAGCAATTATAGTGCAATGATGTAGCTCCACACCATTGGGGTGGATGCTTTTGAATGGAGTCCCAAGTGACAAACTCTGTTAAAAGTCAAGATTAAGAGGTCATCACGGCCAATGCTGTTAATGCCACCACACCTCATCCCTGCCGCCGCCTTCCTTCTGCTCGACCTCGCAGCTGTTGCTAAGTTGACGCCCGTTCTCCAAGGTCTGCTGTCACATCTCACCGCCTGGCTTTAGGTCTTCCCCTCGGTCACCGGCCTTTGGGTGCCACTCCGATGTCTTTCGGTAATCCTGCCCTCTCCGTAAATCTGCCCTCCTCCATCGTGCGCATATGCCCACCCATTGCAACCACATCTTCCTCAGACAATCGATATCTTTAGAAATAAAATAAGCATGAAGAAAATGTTTTTGTGTGTGTGTTTAAATATGACTAAAAGTCTTAACCCAATAAAACATTTGTGTGAAGCGGTCTTTCTTAAGGCCCTACATGGGATAATAAAATCATTTTGTCCTTAACTAAACTCCTCTAATCCTTAATCTTATTCTTCCAAATTGTTCACGGATCCCCAATAATATGCTGATGAATGATGTACTTTTGTCTAAGTAGGCTTATGCCAAAATGCATTCAGCCACAGACTATAATTGATGAGCAATCTCCACATGAATAAGTGATGAGGCGATAACATGGTGCACATTTATTTTTCAGGGATACAGCTCAATCTGTGAAGCGCACTCCAGGTAGAGATGACATGCAGTAACGATTACTTAATTCTGAAATATTACAGGGAAGTACACTTCGCCGCTTTCCCTGTGATTTATTTTCTACCTACGTGACTTTACCGAAAGAACCAAAGAGTATGGATTCCTGCAGTCACGAAAGGTTCAAATTAAGATTTTCCCTGAAGTGTTTAACCTACTCATCGTGCATTAACCATGGCTAAACACAAGCTCAGGCCATGGTGGTCAGACAGACAGGAGTGCCCATGACCTCATCTGCACACACTTTGTCCACTTGGGACATGAGACGATCTCACACGCGAGCCTGCCGAGTGATCATGTGACTCAAGAAACTAAGACTGCGGCGGTGCTCACCTCATTGCTTGGAGAACTATAACGTGAACACCACGTGAACTCATCTACCTCCTCACATGGTCAAGTTTCAGGGTAGTAATGTTGCCAGGCAGTACGCATATTGTAGAGTTTGCAATGTGGCTAGTTTAAGTCTACATTTGTACAAACTCTATGGTTAAATACAAACATACGCTGCTTGCTGTTAAATGGAGATTCAAGATCGTGTGACACATTTACTCATGTCACCATGTGAGAATGATGCAGTCCTCATCCAAATTAGGTGGAGAGCGGTGGTGCAGTGCTTTGAAACTGGTGAACTCGGTTAAATTTCTGGCCATGGCTAACAAGACATTGGACCCCTCCCCTCACCCCACCCAAAGGGCTGTAAAATACTATTAAATATTATGTAGTTTAAAAAAACCCATACATAACCAAGGACATCCATAGCAGCTCTGCAAAAAAATAAACCTCAATGAAACCTAACCAGCTTGAAACATAAGCTTTGCTTCATAATTTTTATATTTAAATTTTAATGTGCAACATTTCATAATAGTGCACAACACGTGTTAGAACAACTGCGACCATATGCAGCGGCTTTTGACAACTCTTCAGAACTACCTAGAATAATGTCATCATGTTCGTAGCGAGCTGCGAGCGTCTAACAGCTGCGAGGTGCGTTTGTGCAGGCACGCACACTACGCGCACGATACAGCACACGTGCGAGCACTCGGCATGTGATTAAAGGAACGTGTCTGCAGGGGGAATGTGGAATGCGTTAAGTGCAATTCAAATAGTTGCGTTGTCAGACGCAGAAAGAGAGAGAGAATCTGTGTTCCCATGGGTATAATTTTCCGATCCAATCCTGGTCTGGACCAGGGTGAGACTGGGGACCCGCGCACTTGTAATCGATAACCTGTCCCAGGCCCATGAAAGCAATCCTAGAGTGCTCTAGGTGGGGAGGTCAGTAACGTAACCTGCAAAGGTCACTGCCAGCCTTACCGACTGCGTTGGCATCACACTGCTCCTCGGCAAAAAGGTGCAGCCTATTTTTACCTCACAGCATGATTTTTTTTGTGTTAATATAAATCATCATGGAGGTGTAGTGTTGTCACAGCGATTCGCATGCCGGAGCTATAAACCTTGGCGACCTGAGTTTGATTATCGGCCACGGCTAAAATAAATTGGCGAGTGATATCTGAACTGGTCCCGAGTTCTTCCTTCACCTGGTGAAACACCATCCATAACTAACATTTAGGAGCAGGGAGGTGTTCATCCAGCAGTGGACTGACAAAGCGCTAACATTTATTATTCCTAAATAAACATTAACGTGAATTATCAAGGCATTAAAGACACAGACAGTTATAGATATTGTGGAGTTATCACAGTATCCTGCACCGAGGGAAAAACAAACCCCATAGGGATTGAATACGCACAAATATGCATTACACACAAATGTACAGCACTGCACGTCTCCACCATCATATTAACGCTGCCTTTAAACATAAAAAAAATGTAAACAGCTAATGTTTCAGGCAACAAGCCTTCGTCTCCGCCGAAGAAAGGAAAAACATCGTGGGGTTTGTGTGTGGGAGATTGCTCACAGAAATGTCACACTTGCAACCTCACTCAAACTCAGTCGGCAGGGTTTCATCGTTTGGCCTGACTTCATAGTGATAGGCATCTTCATTTAAATGAGGCCATTATTGTGTTATGGATTCCAGTTACATTATTAAGATAAATGACGGTGGTAATTTTTGTGTAGTGCTTTTCACCCACGCCTGAAAGGTAACAAATATAATAAATAAATACAAGTTTAACCCTTGGACAATCTATTGCTGGGTTAGAATTAACTGGATAAGATAATTCTTAAGCACAATAACAAAGGAACAAGTTCACACTACCAATTAGACCATTCTTTACAGTTTCACATTTCTGCATCACAACACCAACTGGGCTTGGCTTCCAGCAGCAACTTTTAATTACGCTGTGTGAAACTCTCGCGCATCAGCTGAAAGCAAATCGATTCGGAATTTTCACCACCACAGGCCGAGCAAGCGTACAAAATACGGACCCCACTTCACTTGTAATAGACAATGCAGCGGTGGCTAGGCAAAGCATTGCCACATCCTAACACATACCACAGCACCATCTAGTGGAAAATTGTTCCAAACGACCTCATAAAACAATCGGTAATTTTTAAATACATTTTCAGCACAAAAGCCGATAAGCAAATCACCCAGAATGTGCCACATCTCGAATACGATGGGATTCTTCGTGCAGTAATTGGTAATCAGGCCGAGACCATCAACTTGCTATACCGGAGAACCTAGTTGTGCCATTGGGAGGCGGTCCAGATAAGATTCCAGGATCTCGGTGGTGCCGCCTGCATGTTCTGACACTGTTTCCCACCTGAGCTGCCCCACGCACGCCTCACCTTCACATGCTGGCCCTGCAGGTAGCGTGTGGCGTCCCGGAAGAGCCGATACATTATGTACCCCTGAGGGTCGATGCTGTCCACCAGCGGAAACGCGGTCTGTATGCAATCACAGTACCACCACGCAGAGTGGATATATCATCAAATAAATGTTGGTATCTTTTCATGTATTATTTTATGATATTAATGGTAACACACATCATTCATGAAAAATACAGAATAGGAACTGAATAGTGTGCAAAGAGACACATTAAGTGACCAAGTGATGGAGAGGATGGGTCTACAGTTGCACACACACCTACTACTGGTGTTGACATGAACGTGGACAGGCCTTCACCTCCCAGTGGAAGGCAAAACGCTGATAATAATGACAATGTTTGCATGGGAAGACTTTGTCTCACGATAGTAGCTGCTTTGATGGCCATGGAAAAGCAATAAGTTGCTGTATCATTTGTACATCCTCATTTGACCAGACCTATTCAGAGTAAGCTAGCTTTAACAAAATTATGTTGTCTGAGATAGACTAACTAAATAAAATGAATATGGGTTTCCTTGGACAGACTGAATTAAGACGTGTTATATAAAATGTGTGCTGAGATTCCTTAAGAGACTTAGCTGAATAACAACGGTAGAACTATTGCCTGTGAATGTACAATTAGAAAGAGCATGGCAACATTATGGATTTTTCTTCCATGGAATTATTTTTAAACAAGTGGAATGCTGCCGTGCCGTAATTAATGGTTTGCACACTGGACTTGCGATCTGGTTCTCCTGGTGCGACAGATACAAAATGGTGCAAGTTGCTTAAATTCCCCTCCGCCACTCCCAATCTCTGTCCACCCAGCAGAATAAATGAGCACACTACAGTTATTCGGTAGCTCGCGTGTGGCAAAGTGTGGGGAACGGTGATGTAGCGGTTAGCACGCTGCGTGACGAATCCGGCGGCCAGAATTAGATTCCTGCTCGCGGCCAACACCAGTGAAGGTTATCTGAACCGGTCCTGGGCCTCTCTTAGGTCGATTCAGCATCAAATGAATACCTAGTGCGGTGTGTAAACATCGCCACTTGGGAGACAAAGGCAGCCAGGCGTGGTGTTGGCCACCCACCCCATGTGCCGTGCCGGCCTTTATAGGTGCTCGCTAACAGCACTTGTCCCAAATCTTTTAAGGCTATACGGGGGATCTTTGTATTGCCATCTCTTCCTAAGACATCTGGCCAGCGTATGGATGAGCATGGACAAAATACCGTCTAGAGGGGCTCTCCAGAGCTCCTCCAATGGGAGGCCTTTCCGCCGCCAGCAGTGGCATTAGCAAACAATTACGGGGCTGCACCTGTTCCTAAAATATAGGTGGAGATTGTAAAGCAGTGGGTCATGCATACCAAGCCTGTTTCCGAGGTGAAGACGACGATCTCGAACAGCTGGCCCACCTGCTGGAGCAGATAGTCGATGCCAGGACGCTTCTTAAAACGCCACCCTGTGCTCAACTACAGGCAAAAGGCAACCGCATAGACGACACGTCAGGAAAGGTTAACGGTTTACATTTATTGTATTAAACATCGCCATGTCCACATAACAGTTATACGACTAAATAATGCACTATTTAGGAGGACACACGTTAAACGCATAGGATGTGACCTATGGCAGAAAAACGGATATCGTTCAGGGTCCACGTAACCCACGGGTAACAAAGCATAAACCTTGAACTATGCATGGTGTTAATCTGCAATGGTGAATTAACGTCCTTTGTGTCCTGATTAATTTATTGATTGGCGGTAGGCTGAGTGCCTGAACATGCATTTATTTGCACGAACGTCTATTTGATCACAAGCATACAAATGTGTGTGTGTGTGTGTGCGGCTGGCTGGGCATGTGACCATGTGCATGCTCGCGTCCCATACCGACCACTCCGGGTGCAGCAGCACATCGGTCAGCTCGATGACGAGCGTGTAAGGGGGCTGGTAGTACGGCTCGCGGAGGGGGTCCGGCAGCAGCTTCTGGCTTGTCGGCTCAATGATCATCTGGGTAAAAAAAAAAAATTCTCGTCAGTCATATACGATCATATCGATCCTCATTTGATGACGATTATTTGGTATCCCATTAGTAAAAAGCTCCCAGCATGTGGAGCGAAGTATCAAACATTGTGCCGAACAACACGCGTTGCATGCCGAAAGCACAAAGCACACAAGCAATATCCTGAAGCAGAACATTAGTGCTGGTTAAAATAACTTATGCTAATTTTATTAGCAGCTTTGATCCTTACCTGTGTATCGATAGTTCCATGTTAAGTTGCCATTGTAATGAGGGAATACTGTGTGATGTTATCTTGGTGTGGTCTGGGACTGTTTTTGTTGTTGTCGTTTTTGCTGCCTTGCCCAATCTTGATCAATCTGACTTACGTAATTAATTATTTCTATTTAGTGACTCGCTTACCTTTTTCTCTATTTTGCACTCCTATTGTTTTTAGCATCTTCTGTTGTTGCAACTTTCTGACCCGCCCATAGCGGACATCTGTGAAAAATAGCTTTGTAGCTCATTGGATTCCTCCAGGATAAATAAATATTCTCATTCTGAAATCGCAGAGCTGGTATCCCATATTCAAGGGTAGCATACATTTTAAAAAGCACAAGAGGAAATCTCCAAATGTTGGAACACAGCATGCATGCAATCACATGCAAAAGGAAATGATTCAATAATTGGGGGCACCAATTCTTGAATCATGTAATCTGGAGCACACCGCAGAGGTTAGAGATAAAATCTGCTAAGATGTTTTTTTTGCGGCATAGCGGTGCGCCGTGCACTATGGGAGGAAAGAGCCATGTGATTCCATTCATCCGCGAAAAAATGTGTCTATTTCAAAGGAAGCGTGCGGTGTGTGACTCACAGCTAAATAAGCAGAATTCTAAGTTATGAGTTTTATATGATCCAAATTGCACAAATCCACAATATTGGTCCACATTAAATGATTGTACATAATGTTAGACTTTATATCCAAGCCAATCCTCATGAAAAAATGAAGCGTGAATCTTCGAATGCGATTTGGAACAATTATACAAAGTTATAAATCACATTAATCCAAATGCCAGTATTATAAATATTGTTTTTGTGAATTCCTGCAGAATTTGAGATGGAATTCCCAAGTGGTGAGATGTTAACTACCTCGCCTGGTATACAGGAGGTTGTGGGTTCGATCCCAACCCTGATGTCTGTATATTTTGAGTTTGTATGTTCTCCCTGTGGTCGAATGGATTTCTCTCAGGGGTCCTCCACAGTTTTCTCCTCCACATTTAGAACATGCGCTATAGTATTGGCTGCTATAAATTTCCACTTGATAGGCCACTTAATTGGGCTATCATTTGTGGCCAGGTCGTTTCTGAAAAAGAGCTATGTAGCTTAGTGGGCCTTACCTGGTAAAATAAAAAAAATTATATTTAGGGATGACAGGGTGGCTACAACTTAGACAAAAGTCTGTGGTAGCAGAGCGCCACCTATTGAAATAGTTTGCACAGTGTGAATGAGCATTCGGTTTTGAGAAATATTTTGTGGGCAATCAAGACATACTGCCATCAATATGGGCGAAAGACTAGAATTAAACTGCTGCTGCAAGTAAAAATCACTAAGAAAAAGGCGTCACTGTACTTACATTCGCGTTTTAAGGTGAGGCTATCTTTGATGACACATTCACATTTGTTTTAAAACACGAGGGTTATACATTCAAATAACCTACGAAAGTCCCAAATTCTCACCGTTAATGTTGGCCAGTAAGTGGAGAAAGCTTATGAACAATACCAAGCTGAACTCACCTGTCTGTAGTCCTTGAAGTACTGATAAGCACGCCTCACTTGTTGTACTACAATGGGATCTGCAACACAAGACACACCATTGCCATTCCGTATGCAGGATGAGCGTACATTGTCCTGTTGATTTATATTTATGGTGGGTATTAACAACAAAATATGGAATAAGCACAAATGAATAAAAACTGTTGCAGTCGATAATATGAATTCTGACTTCCAAGATTGCGAATCTGATGTCCTGGATTTAGTTCTGATGATCAATGTACAGTAATCCCTCGCCAACCGCGGAGGTTAGGTTTCTGGAAACGGCTGCAATAGGCAAATCCACGGTTAGTAAAGTACAGGGCGTTTGGGAAATAGGGGGTTAGGGGAACCATGGCCACGGTTGGCAAGTCCGCGGTTGGCGAGGGATTGCTGTAGTTTCAAATGAGACGTCAAATCTAATTCCTAAACTTGGCTGAGAAAATTGTCCTTCAATTTACCCATGGTGAGCTGAAACAATAATAATTGGCAAGTTAAACGCTCAAACACGAGAAGATTGATTTGATTGGTTGTGTTGGATGGTGGAGGGTAATAACGACACAGATTTTTTTTTGGTACAATAATTGTGGCCTAACCCAAAAATGTATTATGAATCATGGGCAAAAATGCAAACTGGAAAACACCATTTGGCTACGTTGATGTAAATTTATGGCGTGGCAAATGAAAACATTATTTTCTAATATCAGAGATATGTACAGATTACATCACAAGCAGTACTTTTCATAACAAAAAGGTGAAAATAAAGTGACTCCTATTCTTCTTTCGTATGGCGGGGGAGTTGACCGGCAATGTCCATGTGGAGGCTGGTGAACTAGTCAACAGCTTCAAGAGTAACAATGCTGCCCATGAATAATAGCTGAGCGCTGCCACATCATTAGCGAGTACATCGCAGCCAGTGCAACCAAAGCGAGGTGAATGCAGAATGAGGCAATGACAAAACAGTGGACAACATAGTCGTCGTCAGTATATGGCCGACAGCCCATTCGTGAGGCTATGTACACATCATACAACACGATTTAAAACATGAATATTCAAAGTTCCACATAATAATATTAGCTGAAATAATGGTCTCTAAATGATAGCTTTCATCCTGTTCTAAGTGAAAAAAACGTCTTGCATTCCCATAGCATGACACACCAAAAACGTGCACCTGTAAAAATAACCAAACATGCTCTCTGACATTGCACCTGGCAATTACAAGTCATTTCTTCTTCATAGACAAATGCAGTGCACGTTCTGGTTAATTTCTGCAGGTCACGCACATGCTCCCAAATGGGTCCTTACCATTATCAAATTCATCCGGCACCTGTGGATAAAAAAAACATAAATTCACTGCTCGTGTGTTCACACTAGATTCACACGCAAAAACAGACACAATCCATGAAAACTAACACGTAAGGTCAGACAGAATCCACATCATTGACTTGACAATCCTGTAAACGTTTCTAGTACTTTATGAACAATGCCACTGGTTTACTTTGAAACTTGTCTAAAGTACAAAAATATACATAGAAACTTCAATGACAAGGAAATGTGTTAGCAATTTTTCTTGTAGTGTTTCTTAACTTGTACGAGAGATGCACATTGTATTCAGTTGAGCACACATCTTATGTGTACAGCTTAGTGATGATTTAGAAAAACGCGTTGAGTATTTGGTTACTGTACATTTCCATATGATCATTTGTGGCCAGATCGCTTCTGAAAAAGAGCGAAATAGCTGTGGGCCTTACCTGGTAAAATACAAAATAGAAATAAAGATAACACGCACCTCCTTTCCATCTTCGTCCAGTGCATTGGCCCCTGTGAGCAAGAGCAGATGCAATTACTTGGCACACTCATTCATAAAATGTTAAAGTACGATAATTATGTTTGTGTAATCGATATGGCACATAACAAACATAACTATGGAAGACAAATACACATTAGTACACAACAGTGAGTGTGATGACTCAGCCTGATTTGTGAGACAGCTTTCATCAGCATTTGGTGGAAAATTGTTAAATTTCCTTTATTTTTATGAAGTTTTGTCAACTTTTCCACAGTAAATATACGCAGACTTCCCAGTTTTCGACCAAGCCCCAACTTTACATTTCGGTATCAATTAGTTTTGGGATAACCCTTTTATATACACACTGTACACATGCAACCAACAGTAAGATTGTATCTCTAGGGCAGGGGTCAGCAAGCTAAGTAACAAGAAGCATTTTCCGAATTCGGTAAAAAAACCCTCAATATTTCAAATACCGCACTGCACTGTGGTGAATATGAGACGGTTGGTCCTTAATAAACAACGTCACGAAAGCAGTCCTTAAAGAGCCGCAGGTTGCCGACTGCTGCCCATGGTAAACTGGACTCCCATGGTAAACTGGACTCCCATGGTAAACTGGACTACCATTGTAAACTGGACTCCCATGGTAAACTGGACTCCCATGGTAAACTGGACTCCCATGGTAAACTGGACTCCCATGGTAAACCGGACTCCCATGGTAAACTGGACTCCCATGGTAAACTGGACTCCCATGGTAAACTGGACTCCCATGGTAAACCGGACTCCCATGGTAAACTGGACTCCCATGGTAAACTGGACTCCCATGGTAAACTGGACTCCCATGGTAAACCGGACTCCCATGGTAAACCGGACTCCCATGGTAAACAGGACTCCCATGGTAAACCGGACTCCCATGGTAAACCGGACTCCCATGGTAAACCGGACTCCCATGGTAAACTGGACTCCCATGGTAAACTGGACTCCCATGGTAAACCAGACTCCCATGGTAAACTGGACTCCCATGGTAAACTGGACTCCCATGGTAAACCAGACTCCCATGGTAAACCGGACTCCCATGGTAAACTGGACTCCCATGGTAAACCGGACTCCCATGGTAAACCGGACTCCCATGGTAAACCAGACTCCCATGGTAAACTGGACTCCCATGGTAAACTGGACTCCCATGGTAAACTGGACTCCCATGGTAAACTGGACTCCCATGGTAAACTGGACTCCCATGGTAAACTGGACTCCCATGGTAAACCAGACTCCCATGGTAAACTGGACTCCCATGGTAAACTGGACTCCCATGGTAAACCAGACTCCCATGGTAAACCAGACTCCCATGGTAAACTGGACTCCCATGGTGAGGGGTCAGCAGTCTTTCACAGAAGAGCCAGGAATGCATTGTGTTGTAAAAGCGGGGACCGCCTGCACTACGTGTTAACAAGTGTAATAAACCAAATAAAGTTAAATTTCGATTGAAAGCTTTCGTGACTGCAGGGATTCATCTTCTTGGTTCTTTCGGTAAAGTCACGTAGAAGGGAAGTAATAAAATAATAAAAATAAAACATAATAAAACAATTCTCACGACGTTTCGGCCACAACGCAAGCAGCCGTCCTCAGGTGAAAACCAGGTCCGTCGAGAATGAAACAGCTGTTTCATTCAGACTCTGTCGCCTCGACGGACCTGGTTTTCACCTGAGGACGGCTGCTTGCGTTGTGGCCGAAACGTCGTGAGAATAGTTTTATTTTTATTATTTTATTACTTCCCTTCTACGTGACTTTACCGAAAGAACCAAGAAGATGAATAAAGTTAATTCAGTTTTGTCAAGAAACGGCTGCCCGCAAGGGGGCAGCCAAATAGCCGCATGAGGCTCCGGAGCCGCAGGTTGCCGAGCCCTGCTCTAAGGGCAGTGGTAGGGTAGGGCTCCAGTGTGAAGAGGCGACAGGCCGCCCATGGGTCGTCCAGTCTCAGCTGATGCGTGCAGGTGGATGATTGATACTTGAGGATTGCGAAGACGAAACGTTTGGATGCTGTCAGACCGGTTCCTACTGGGACACAGCATGGATATCATGTGCCCATCTTGCGCATGAATTGGAAGGGGGTTTCCCCGCCTTCGGGAGGTGGGAGCACGCTATTTGTAAGTGAACCCATGAAAGTTCTAAAATTAAGATTGAACCACTTCTACGGGGAAGTTTTAAACGTATCTTTTTTTTCTCTCTCTCTGACTACTTGTTCTCTCTGCCTGTGTCCTCTCTTTGGAATGTTCACACTTAAATTCTAACTTAGCAATCTTTGAAATACGTAATCAACCAGGCTATGCGTTAATTGTGTGTTGACCGACCCTCTGTGTTGTATTACATTACATTTCGATATTTTACTAGGTTATTTAATTTTAGTGTGTCCTTCTCCTGATTTTCAGGCTTGCTTGCCGTGTCATCGCACTTGCAGCACCACGTTTTGTTGTCCACTCATTGATATGCTAATTTTTTCTCTAACCCCCCTCCCTCTCTCTGCGTCCGCCCTCCTCTGTCTATTTAAGGCCACCCCACAGAGACGACCACCTCTCTCTGTTACCTGTGTTGCTCTCTCTATGTATCTTGGTGATATCTGTCTGCTAATATGTCTGTCTATAGTTTTCTGGTTAGATTTTATGTCGCTATTTCATTATACCTGATGATGATTGCTTGTGTTGCAATCGAAACGTCATATTCTATTATTTAATTTAATTTATTATTTTATCTTTAGACGTGACTTAACCGAAAGAAACAAATAATAATACCTGCAGTCACGAAAGTTCTAAAATTAAGATTGAACCCATGTAATGAACTACAAGGACGTGGCTGATTACAAATTCTAGTCGGCCAGATTAACTTAATTGACCAATCATCCCAGCTCGAGTGTGGAGTTTAAACGCCACGGGAGGATTCTCAGGAGACCCCACCGTGACCTTGAGAACACGTGGAGCACGTGACCTCACGCAGCTGCCCGCCCGGCCTGTCACACGCACGTGGCGGGGGGGGGGGCTGTCGTGCACGGGCGCCAACCCTCACGCCCTGAGATTTACGACCACCCGAGAGACATGACGTCATAGCGCGCCGGTGACGTTACTCGCGTTATCAAACACGCCAGTGACGTCACCGCGACGGGCCACGCGGCGTCGTCATGTCGACGAACTCGACAGTGACACTGGGAGTCGTCTTTTTTGTTGTTGTATAAATGGGGGGGGGGGGGGGGGGGGAATTAGACTCTTGGCGTGGCACAGGGGCACGAGCCGCCGGCTCTCGAGCTACCGCACCCCGCGGGTTCCCTCACGGCCCGGGTCTGCCTCACGTCAAGGGGTCGTCAAGGGGTCTCCCGCCCCCGAGAGGCCGTCTCTACCCCAACCACAGGCCAAGCGCACCCTGCACCCCGACTCCTCACGACCCGTGGCCCGATCCCGGCCGGGTGCATCTTTACAGACTGCCCTCTTCATCCCGTGCCCTGACATCCGGGGGCTCCCACCACCCCCGGCCCTCATCCCCTCCCCATGTCTGGATCCCCTCCAAACCCGGACCACCTCCACGCCCGGTACCCTTCACCCCCACGAGGACGCCTCCACCAGCCCCCGGAACTCCTTCAGAGACCCTCCCCACTCCTCTGCACGAGTAACCCACCGCCTCCCGGCTTCCAGCCTCGGCTCCCCGCCGGACCCCCTCCGTACCGAAGACGTAGACGCCGGAGACGCCCCCGCAGAGCGCCAGGGCGCCCGCGAGGCGCAGCGCGAACCCGCGGGCCCGCTGCCGCCGCCTCCGCGTCTCCTCCTCCTCCTGCTGCTGCTGTTGCTGCTGCTGCTGCGGCCCCGGGACAGCGGCGGCCGCGGCTGCTGCTCCCGCCAGCGTGGTGGCCCCGGTGCCCGGCGACGACGGGGCCGCACTGCTCCACGGGCGGCGATGGGACCCCGGGACCCCCAGGCGGGAGCAGAGCGGGGCCGCGAGACGCGAGGGGAGCGGGTGGTAGAGGGGAAGAGAGGGGAGAGCGGCGGCGGTGGTGGCGGCGGTGGCGGCGGCGCGGACGCGCGAGCACATGGGGCGCACGAGCGCGGCCATGGCAGCGCGCGGGGCTCCTCCTCTCGCTTGGGACGGGGCGGGGATGGGGGCGTCACCGTCCAGACTCCTCATGGGGGGCGTGGTCACGTGCAGGGCTCCTCATGGGGGGCGTGGTCACGTGCAGGGATGCTCATGGGGGGCGTGGTCACGTGCAGGGATCATCTGGGGGGCGTGGTCACGTGCAGGGATCATCTGGGGGGCGTGGTCACGTGCAGGGATCCTCATGGGGGGCATGGTCACGTGCAGGGATCATCTGGGGGGCGTGGTCACGTGCAGGGATGCTCATGGGGGGCGTGGTCACGTGCAGGGATCCTCATGGGGGACGTGGTCACGTGCAGGGATCCTCATGGGGGGCGTGGTCACGTGCAGGAGTCCTCATGGGGGGCGTGGTCACGTGCAGGGATCCTCATGGGGGGCGTGGTCACGTGCAGGGATCCTCATGGGGGGCGTGGTCACGTGCAGGGATCCTCATGGGGGGCGTGGTCACGTGCAGGGATCCTCATGGGGGGCGTGGTCACGTGCAGGGATCCTCATGGGGGGCGTGGTCACGTGCAGGGGTCCTCATGGGGGGCGTGGTCACGTGCAGGGATCCTCATGGGGGGCGTGGTCACGTGCAGGAGTCATCATGGGGGGCGTGGTCACGTGCAGGGATGCTCATGGGGGGCGTGGTCACGTGCAGGGGTCATCATGGGGGGCGTGGTCACGTGCAGGGATCCTCATGGGGGGCGTGGTCACGTGCAGGGGTCATCATGGGGGGCGTGGTCACGTGCAGGGATCCTCATGGGGGGGCGTGGTCACGTGCAGGAGTCCTCATGGGGGGCGTGGTCACGTGCAGGGATCCTCATGGGGGGCGTGGTCACGTGCAGGCTCCTCATGGGGGGCGTGGTCACGTGCAGGGATCTCATGGGGGGCGTGGTCACGTGCAGGGATCCTCATAGGGGGCGTGGTCACGTGCAGGGATCATCTGGGGGGCGTGGTCACGTGCAGGAGTCCTCATGGGGGGCGTGGTCACGTGCAGGGATCATCTGGGGGCGTGGTCACGTGCAGGGATGCTCATGGGGGGCGTGGTCACGTGCAGGGATCCTCATGGGGGGACGTGGTCACGTGCAGGGATCCTCATGGGGGCGTGGTCACGTGCAGGGAGTCCTCATGGGGGGCGTGGTCACGTGCAGGGATCCTCATGGGGGGCGTGGTCACGTGCAGGGATCCTCATGGGGGGCGTGGTCACGTGCAGGGATCCTCATGGGGGGCGTGGTCACGTGCAGGGATCCTCATGGGGGGCGTGGTCACGTGCAGGGATCCTCATGGGGGGCGTGGTCACGTGCAGGGGTCCTCATGGGGGGCGTGGTCACGTGCAGGGATCCTCATGGGGGGCGTGGTCACGTGCAGGAGTCATCATGGGGGGCGTGGTCACGTGCAGGGATGCTCATGGGGGGCGTGGTCACGTGCAGGGGTCCTCATGGGGGGCGTGGTCACGTGCAGGGATCCTCATGGGGGGCGTGGTCACGTGCAGGGGTCATCATGGGGGGCGTGGTCACGTGCAGGGATCCTCATGGGGGGCGTGGTCACGTGCAGGAGTCCTCATGGGGGGCGTGGTCACGTGCAGGGATCCTCATAGGGGGCGTGGTCACGTGCAGGGATGCTCATGGGGGGCGTGGTCACGTGCAGGAGTCCTCATGGGGGGCGTGGTCACGTGCAGGAGACCTCATGGGGGGCGTGGTCACGTGCAGGGATCCTCATGGGGGGCGTGGTCACGTGCAGGAGTCCTCATGGGGGGCGTGGTCACGTGCAGGGATCCTCATGGGGGGCGTGGTCACGTGCAGGGATCCTCATGGGCGGCGTGGTCACGTGCAGGAGTCCTCATGGGGGCGTGGTCACGTGCAGGGATCCTCATGGGGGGGCGTGGTCACGTGCAGGGATGCTCATGGGGGCGTGGTCACGTGCAGGAGTCCTCATGGGGGGCGTGGTCACGTGCAGGAGTCCTCATGGGGGGCGTGGTCACGTGCAGGGATCCTCATGGGCGGCGTGGTCACGTGCAGGAGTCCTCATGGGGGGCGTGGTCACGTGCAGGGATCCTCATGGGGGGCGTGGTCACGTGCAGGGATGCTCATGGGGGCGTGGTCACGTGCAGGAGTCCTCATGGGGGGCGTGGTCACGTGCAGGAGTCCTCATGGGGGGCGTGGTCACGTGCAGTGGTCCTCATGGGGGGCGTGGTCACGTGCAGGGATGCTCATGGGGGGCGTGGTCACGTGCAGGGGTCATCATGGGGGGCGTGGTCACGTGCAGGGATCCTCATGGGGGGCGTGGTCACGTGCAGGGATGCTCATGGGGGCGTGGTCACGTGCAGGAGTCCTCATGGGGGGCGTGGTCACGTGCAGGAGTCCTCATGGGGGGCGTGGTCACGTGCAGTGGTCCTCATGGGGGGCGTGGTCACGTGCAGGGATGCTCATGGGGGCGTGGTCACGTGCAGGGATCCTCCTGGCGCCGGGGGTTCGTCACGTGGTGTACAATCCAGCAGTCCAAACTCTTTAGCTCTTTCGGTAAAGTCACGTCGGTAGTAAATAATAGATGACGTCTGCTTCAGCAGTTTCCCTGCTGTGATCGTCTCACCTGATGACGGTCGCTTGTGTTGAGATCGAAACGTCGTGATCTATTATTTTCTACCTCTGCGACTTTACCGAAAGAACCAAAGGGTATGGATTCCTGCAGTCACGAAAGCTTCAAATCAAGATTGAATCCAGCAGTCGAATAATGACAGTGCAGTAGAGCCTGCAGGCCACCGGCATTTATGACTCTCATTTCTGTGTTCACGTGCAATGCAGATACAACGTCGCATATCCGACTCGCTGGGGACTGAGGTATATAGGGGCCGTCCATAAATGACGTCACGCGATTTTGGACGATTTCTGACCGCCCCCCTCGTCACACGGCGTTACAAAAAGTCAGACCCCACCTCAAATATGACGTCACAAAGCTCTGCCCACCCCCCCAACCATATTTCCATTTTTAAAATAAAACATGCTTCAAATCGCTTTAAACTATTGTCATTGTAGTGCGTATTTAATGTGGCGCTGCACTCTGATGTTGTAGGAGAAAACATTTATTAAAAAGTCTATATAATTAAGTAGAACGTGTTGTATATTTTATTTAAAGTTGCGCATTTTGATGTGACGTCACATTTCTCACCCCACCCCCCTCGTCATACATCGGCACAAATGTCTGACCCACCTCCCCCCTAGGTGCGTGACGTCATTTATGGACGGCCCCATAGGCAGACATGTCATTAGGTCAGACATGCAAACCTGTCAACCCCTTATCAGTGCCTCCCTTATTACGGACAAATTCAGACCTTATTGGTCACCCCGTGCCCAGTGCCGGATTATCGTCGTAGCAAAAGTAGCTACACGTGAACCTTAGGGCGGTCCACGCTTTCCATAGTACCCCGGCTCTCGCACAATGTCCCTGATGCAGTCATCCTTAGTCTGTCGATGGTCGGCGATGCGACAATCGACTCATCTCGACGAGCTGTACACGATGCACCACCACGGTGCGTACCGCGAACCTTCAGGGTTTCGGCGCAATCGTCCTCGCTGCGATTCGACATCGCGGAGTGTGGCACTGATTTCGGATTGATGGGTACCCCAGTCGCGGAGTGAAGTACACCCCTGGACAAAAATAGTGTCCCAGAAATACAATATTTAATTGCCTCGGCCAGTTGTATTAATTGGTACCCCGGGGTACCGCCATAAGGATCATATGCTACAAGCTATCAATTCCGGTTCAGTGATTCTGCACTTGCTCTATTACTATAGTACTATACCGCCTTAAACTTTTATGAGTCAGTGGGGAGGGGGGTGTTGACATCATTGCTCTGTGGGCTCGCGAGTCAGTGGGGAGGGGGGTGTTGACGTCATTGCTGTGTGCGCGAGTCAGTGGGGAGGGGGGGTGTGGACGTCATTGCTCTGTGGGCTCGCGAGTCAGTGGAGAGGGGGGTGTTGACGTCATCGCTCTGTGGGCTCGCGGGTCAGTGGGGAGGGGGGTGTTGACGTCATTGCTCATCCCCCATGCACAAATCATTTTCTTTTTAACTCCTCTAGACCCGGTCGATATCCCTGTACCGGTATTAGTATTATTCCTACCAGCCCACCCCGCAGGGTCCTGTTACCATGCACATGGTGTACCTATTTTCCTGCAATAGGTGAGGGTAAACACCACTGCAGTACCTCATGTCGCCAGCTCCATCTAGTGGCCCATTCGCTGTATTTAAGTGGCTTTGGGACCTATCATAACTACAGATGCCTCAGAGGGATCACAACCAAACATCACAACTACTGATGCAGTTATTGATATTTAAAAAAATATATATAAAAGCATAAAAAAATAATTACATTGACAAATTACACAATAAATACAGTACTGCACTCTTACATTTATGAAGGAGATATACAGAATATGAAAGTTGCATATTTGGCATCGTGCCACGGGCAGACGGTATAACACTAACGCTGTAGATGGTGGTGGTGTAACTTGTACAGCAAATCTAAATCCACGCGGCTTTGCACTCCGATAATTTGGCCATTCACGAGCCACAATTTCACACGTGGAAGCGTCAGGTGGGCATGGAGGCCTACTATGGGTGTGGAATTCTGACACGCACTTTGAAATAACATTCACAAACATATACCATCAAAGCAAACTCTAACCATCCCATTACAAAAGGCATACACTTTCATATGCCCGGCCATTCCATGCAACCAGCGCATCATACATGTGTAGTGTGGTGAAATACGTGGCGCACATTGTTGGCCGAGGGCAACCGAAGACAAACACGTGCACGTGTGCAACATGAAGTTGCACGTGTGCAACATGAAGTTGCACGTGTGCAACATGAAGTTGCACGGGAAGACCGCCACCTCATTAGGGGGGGGGGAAGCCGGTGCAGACCAGGTCGGCCCGGGGTTGCACGCCGACACCGGAGGTGTTGCCAGGGATATGTGAGATAAGGGGTGATTGATGGCCTGACAGGCACCAGCCTGTCTGGCCCTAAAGAGACACAAGAGAGGAGCTGGACAATCGGGAGGGGAATATAAGGACGGGCGTGAGAGCGGAGTGGGAGTTCGTGTTGCTGGAGACAAGAGAGAGAAGACGTCTCGCCGCTGCCGCTCGAGCCGGGAATGGACCTCAACCCTCACGAGTCGCCGGGCGGGTGATGGTGGATCCCCCCGCCCGGGACGGACGAGTGAGTGGGTCTGAGGGAGCGTAGGTGAGGGCAGCGGTGGAGTGTGAGAAGCTGCTGAGTGCAAGCCTCTGTGTGAGGGCTGCTGTGTGAGAAGCTGCTGTGTGAGGGCTGCTGAGTGCAAGCCTCTGTGTGAGCGCTGCTGAGTGCAAGCCTCTGTGTGAGAGCTGCTGCGTGAGAGCCTCTGTGTGAGCGCTGCTGAGTGCAAGCCTCTGTGTGAGAGCTGCTGAGTGCAAGCCTCTGTGTGAGAGCTGCTGCGTGAGAGCCTCTGTGTGAGCGCTGCTGAGTGCAAGCCTCTGTGTGAGCGCTGCTGAGTGCAAGCCTCTGTGTGAGAGCTGCTGCGTGAGAGCCTCTGTGTGAGCGCTGCTGAGTGGAAGCCTCTGTGTGAGAGCTGCTGCGTGAGCGCCTCTGTGTGAGCGCTGCTGAGTGCAAGCCTCTGTGTGAGAGCTGCTGCGTGAGAGCCTCTGTGTGAGCGCTGCTGAGTGGAAGCCTCTGTGTGAGCGCTGCTGAGTGCAAGCCTCTGTGTGAGAGCTGCTGCGTGAGAGCCTCTGTGTGAGCGCTGCTGAGTGGAAGCCTCTGTGTGAGAGCTGCTGCGTGAGCGCCTCTGTGTGAGCGCTGCTGAGTGCAAGCCTCTGTGTGAGAGCTGCTGCGTGAGAGCCTCTGTGTGAGCGCTGCTGAGTGGAAGCCTCTGTGTGAGAGCTGCTGCGTGAGAGCCTCTGTGTGAACGCTGCTGAGTGGAAGCCTCTGTGTGAGAGCTGCTGCGTGAGAGCCTCTGTGTGAGAGCTGCTGCGTGAGAGCCTCTGTGTGAGAGCTGCTGCGTGAGAGCCTCTGTGTGAGAGCTGCTGCGTGGAAGCCTCTGTGTGAGAGCTGCTGCGTGAGAGCCTCTGTGTGAGGGCTGCTGCAAGTCTCTGTGTGAGAGCTGCTGCGTGAGAGCCTCTGTGTGAGAGCTGCTGCAAGTCTCTGTGTGAGGGCTGCTGAGAGCGAAGCGTTGAGTGCGGAGCTGCTGAGAGCGAGGGCTGCTGTGTGCAGGTTAGCGAGGTGTAACGTAGATAAGAGTGGGAATTGGTTCACAGAAGTGAACGTATAGACAGTGATAGGAGTGCCTACAACTGGTGCAAGAATAGGCTAATACAAATTTAGCCCCGCCCCCCCCTCCCGATACGTTCCATTCATTGGCTACCACATTCTGATAAGCCCCCCCCCTCTCATCCCCCCTGAACTTGTATTTAAGGGCCTGCATCTTGAATCCTTGCCTCACTTGATGCAGCTAATCTGGCTGTGACGGTCCCACCTGATGACGGAGACTTGTGTTGCCTCCGAAACGTCGTGATTTTATTGTTTTATTTTTATTAATTTTAATTTCATTTTTTACCTACGTTACTTTACTGAAAGAAATAAGAGTATGTAAGCAGGTGACCTGTTACGTGTCAGTCTGAGTGATTTTCCAAGACAATACACATTTGATACAATTTATCAGAGATACACATTATGTGAATCTGCACATTTAGCAAGGACCTATTAAGGTATATGTTGAACTTGTTAAAAGGTGTAATTATATAATGCTGTAAAATGACACATATTAAATAAAAGTAAAATAAAAGATGAGACGGATTAAAACAATAGTGGCTTGAATGGGATCTACAGTACATTAAAATAATCAGTCCTTTCATTTCTACATTAAAAGTTTTTTTTATCGATATTTAATGGTCATTAAATAGGTTGTTTACATTGCGACATCCATAATCTTTGATGATTTATAATTCAAAAAATTCCTCTTTTTCTTCTTATGAAAAATTACAGCATTGCTCTCTTCTTCGGGTTGTGAGCGGAAGACAAAAATCCGCTCCTGAGTTCCGGAGGAATCCAGCATCAACGTTTCACCCTCCAGACTGGGCTCCGATGGCTTCAACTGCGATGGCTGCAGTGACATATCCGAGTTGTGCGAATGACGAGGAGAAACTAAGTTGGCTGGCTGCAGTTGTGCCTCTTTTAACGTTCTAGAGTAAATGACAAATCAAATTAGCATGCATCAAAAATTGGTTATGTGCACAAACATTTATCATATGTAGTTCGTATACACTGTGAACCTGTTTCAATTTAATTCATTGTATTCTAAAAATATTAAATCGAATTATTCCACTGTGAAGAGGTATTTATTTCTAGAATGTGACATTTCTAAAATATAATGGAGCGATGTTCACAATAAATAGATCTATCACAGTTGCCTGAGTGATCAGTGACTATAAATTCAAGTCAATATTAGTAAACAAACATAAGCACAGGAAACTATCAGCTACCAGTAAATTTGACTGCATTTCATCTTTCTAAATTCTCTATTTGTGTTTAAAAAGGACGAGGCGATTTACCTTTGCTTCATTCGTGGAGAGTTCACTTTGGCATTCTGCCTACATGAGGCAAGGAGAGAAGCTCGGACATGTTCCACCAGCCCTGCTGCCACGGGGTACGCAGCTACATCCACACCTTCTTCATGAACACCAACTGCAGAGATCCTACACACGTGTCACATCAGCCTTGAGACATAGTTACAATATTTTGTTTAACTTAAATACGATTGTTCCTTTGTATCTAAATGATTTTATTCTCACACTACAGGACCATACACAAATTGGTCAAGTATATCAGTATGCTGGCAGGCAACAGAAGATGGTATGACATTTTTTACAAAATATAAGTCCTTGGAAATATGTCTGTAAAATTACATTCTACATTGCAAATATTGTAAAGGAATCATCTTTCTTAAAATGTTTTTTGTCTTTCCCATTTGTATTCTAGATGTGAATGCAGTGCCTCGAGTGGCTGCAGGGTTTAGGTAAAACAAATGCATACAAAATATGCAACATGAAAGTAATCGATGATTACACACCTGATTGATGAATACGTCGTGACCATATGAAATAAATGAAATCAATTCATCTGCATCATTACATGTTGAACAAACACAGATAAACATTGAGGTCCATCTTGGCTGTGCCATGGTGTCGAGTAGAGATGCAGAATGTTTTAGATTGGAATTATAATGTAAAAAAGAGAAAGGATGGCATGCTTTGAACGAGCATTCAAGTATGGTACTCAATTCGTTTATTGTAAAAAAGCTAACCATATGTATTGTTCATGGAAGTGTGGTCTTAAAATCACACGATGGCGGCCGTGCCCTGCTAAACAAGCCCATCTTCATCACTGTTGGTGGGGTGAAGATGTGCACTTAAAATACTGTACAGGTACCTGTTAGGCACAGAACACGTGTTTGGGTGAACAAGCCGAAGTAATTCCTGAAGCTGCTTCATGCTATGAAGAGGCAAAAGCAAGCGAAGAGCATGCTGCACGGCATCCCTTGGAATGTCAAACTTCTCTATGAGCTGGCTCAAAAATCCATATGCCTGTAGAACAGCACGGGCAACACAAATATATTGCAGGCTTCATTAAACTTAATTTTTAAATAAATAATCTTAAGTCCTTCGTCAATCCACTTGGATGAAAGCTTCTTTAAATTGTGTTAGTCATGGGGCTTTCATTGACCCTACATCACCATGTCTCTAAATTTGGGTTGGTAAAGGGTAGGTGCAGGACAAGTTTAGATATCATTCGCCACTGTTATTAGCTGTGGCTGGGAATCAAACTCAAGTCGCCGGGTTCTCAGCGTGGTGCGCCACTGATCCCCAATTCAATTAATATGCCACTGAAAAATTAGGATATTTTCACCTGTATAGGGCTCTCAATATTTTGAAGGTCCAAACACCGTACAGGCTGGGCAGTGTTGCCATATGTCTCCAGTATGGCATGAGTAAGCATGTCCACGGCCTCCTTCCTTTCCCTGCACAGCTCCTCGCTCTCCAGCCGCTCCACAGGGAGAGAGCCCATGGCACTGGTCGTCTGCCCTTCCCCTGCACACACAGAGCCACTACACGCACTCTGCACACCCTGCTGCACCTGGCATATGCACAAAGGATGCACACATTTATTCGGCCATATTATATCACAGTTGCAATGTGACAAAGTGCTGGATTCAATAGGGCAAGGTTACACAAATAAGCAGAATAATTATGTAATTGGAATGTTACTCAGGATCAGAGGCGGTATTAAGTGTTTCTGATCATTTCACTTCAGTTAAACTGGCATGGCCGCCAGTTTTGCAGAATGTCAGCAAAATTTTAAAGTTTTAAATTCATTATGACATTGCACACTGTCGCAGATCGATGTACATGATGGATAAAAGCACACTATTGCTCAATAATGTGCTTTTATCCATCATTTGTATAGGCAGTGATAGTGTGCAGCTGGGGGCATCCCCAAAAGTGGATGATGAGTGGATGTGGTGATGCATTTGGCGTAATTCATGAGGCATTCCATCATGTCTACTCCACTACAAAATTACACCTGCATGACACTCCCAGCGGGGGTTCTGCCATGATTAATAACATTTAACTGCTGCTGGGATTGTCCTGTCATCTTTCCTTCACACCAGCTTGCTGGGTCAACAGAGCCATGTAAGAGCTTCAGTTAATCGAGCAATGCACGCACCACTGTGCCACAGTTGCACCCTCAATTAGATAAACAGTGTGTCCTCGAAACAACCTGGGTGGATATACCGTGTCTTGTGTACCATGGGAGGTTTCGTTGAGAGGGATGCTACAAATATACATTTGTGGGGGGAAAAATGAATGGCGTGCACAGCAATTGTGACTCGTTAGCCATGTTCCCATGCTGCGCAGAAACATTGTGTGCCAGGCAGTGCGAGTTCAGTACTGCACTGTAAATAACTGAAGCATTGCATTGTGGGTTTTCTGGTGGGGTCAGTCGTATTTTTTCCCTTTCATATTTTTATAAAACATATTTTAGAACATGGAAAGTAATATTAATTATATTACAAGCTCTAAGTGGGAAAAAAATGTGGTCTTCTTGGAAATAACAGGATTCTGTTAAGAAAATGGATACACAGAGGAAGCCCCACCTCTGGATTATCCTGGAGTTGCGATTATGTGCTGTACAACTAGAAGCTCAGTGAATTATACAAACGTCTCACACATTACCTGTGTATTCTGTGTGGATTTGGAGCATGCACCCCAACATTTATTCTGTCTTAGAAGGGATATGCATACGACCGCCAGTCCCACCATCACAAATGCCACCACAAATCCTACAAAATGCAGACCATGGTGTGGGGTGATCTGCACAAAGAAAACAAGTCATTACCTTTACATACTTTGCATTACAATAGCACATTGTTCTCACTGTTAAATAAGCATGTCTTTAAATGTGATTTATACACAATATCAAATGTTGCAAAAAGATCCTTAAACAAATATTCATTGACCAAATGACATGGCCACATGGTTGAAAGTGTGAAAATCCATTTTAAGTCAACAGTTACACGCAAATAAAAAAAAAATCTGTGGTGATTTTGAGCATGACATATGCATGTGTGATGGGTGGGTGATTGTACAAATGCCGATATTTCCATAAAGCAGCGAACACTCTCGAAATAAGTGTTGCATGCATACAAGCTACAGCATGTCATTACGACAAAGGAGCCTACACAAACAATGATTTGTGTAACCTTAACAATAGTTTGCCTAATATCCCATAGTCTGTGCACAAGGGGAGCAATTGCAGATCCCCTCGCTTTCATGAATGATAGAATTTTCACTTAAAGGCAAGAGAGTTCCAACATTTTCATCGCATTTGAATTTGAATGATTTTCGAGTTTCTGGCATTACAACATTTCCTTGATATTCATGTAGAACAGACACAATACCATTCTATGCATCATACATGAAACATGTTAGACAGCATTTTGGATCTCAGTTTAAAACATCACATATACATTTTGAAGGATGTCTCAGGTTAAAATATTTACCTTAAATTTGGCTACTTGCATGATGAATAGTGTTGATGTTGCAATCTCAGCTTCAGTACCAAACTAAAAAGCACACACGCTAAACTCGTTAATGACTATACAGTATGCAGAAGATGAACAATAAACACGCCTGTTGTACCATTAACCCTTTGAAGAGCGATGTGTGACATCAATAAGGCAGTGAGCCAAAGTGAAAGAGTAAGAGAAACAAAAGACGTGAAATACATTATGTTTAAGGCAGGAATAGCACTCCTATTGGAATGTTTGCCCATTGATTAAATTACCCATAGTCCTCCATGGATAGCACGTAGTAAAATTGGTTTGCGCTGAATGAACCCCAGTCTTTGTGCAATGCACTTGCCAATAGCTTGACAACTCAGCAATATTTTTTTCCACAAGCCTAATTCTGTTGATGAGAACCAAAGGTTGAAACTGGTCTAGGGTCTGCTGCTTAAGCAAATGCTTCTGAATAACACTGGTATAGAAGTCCCACAGGCTGATGGGATAAAAAATTATATATAAGTGTTACGTGAAGAGATGAACCTTTGTCTGTGTATGTTTATTTCATTAAACGACGTTTTGGATGGCGATTAGGTAAGGGCAGGAGAGGATTCGGGCTCATTTGAAAGAGCCACGTAAATGAAAGGGGTAAGGCTGAGGATGTAAATGGCAAGACCACAGCCCCTTTACAGATCAATGACAACCGTTCCCTACTCCATGCAGATGAATTTATTTGCGGCTTCACTGGCATGTCTGCCTCTTCTTTGACCGTCGTCAAGAGGTAAACAAGTGACGTGTGTGGACTCGTTTTAGTGAAATTGAGAATGTCCAGACTGCGACAGAAATGTCAGATAATCATTGGGGGGTGGGTTTAAAGCCCTTGCAAAACTACAAAAGAGGTGCCTACCTCTTTTGTAGTATGTAAATGGTGAGCAATCATTAGAAGGATTTAATTAACCAAGTTAAACTTTAGCTGCTTCATAGTTTTACAGTCATATCCGTATTTCCATTATTTTACTCCCAGCTTTATACACTACCATCACTCAGAAATTTGACGTACAGTGTTTTAATAGTGTCCCAATACTCACCCCCATAGCATTATGCCCAGGAGCCCAGGAGCCTCTATAGTATCCGCATCCCAATGCTCGGTCCGCCCTGGCTGCTTCACATTTCTCTTACACTCACCCTGATCTCATCTGTTAATCAGCTAATCCCCCGCCCCCAACCCCCCCTCCACCCCACTCCTTGGCTCCTCCCCCTTCGCTTACCCCATATAATCGCGTGTCTCTAAACAGCTCTCTTGATTCACTACAGTGATTTTGCTGTGGCCGGTTCCACCTGAAGACGGAGGCTTGTGTTGCTTCCGAAACGTCGTGATTTAATTTAGTTGTTTTCATTTATTCTATTTTATTTTTTACCTACGTGACTTTACCGAAAAAACCAGGTGCCTACCTGTGTTCTTATCACAGAAGCTGCCAGTGAAATGTTCACTCCATCCAGAGCCAAGGCAGGATCCAGAGTAGCGATATAAGACACCTCCGTCACTGAGAACACACAACAGGATAGGTATAAAACCGTAATGAATATAAAATAATGTAAGATCAACTTTACACAAAGTTCGTTATAAGATAACCTTAAGAATATTTAAATTCACGGACCATGTTATAGTTTTTCTTTAGAGATTACATGTTTTAATTCATGTAATTATTGACTGAACATTTCCTATTATAAAACATCTGATTATCCATATCAAGAAAGGGCTTTTGCTACTGGAAGCATATTTCAGGCATTCATCCCTCTCTAGAACATTGTTTAGAGGCATGTAACTCCCAAGCATGAAACCAAAATATGGAAATTCGATGTCACGATGCAATTTTGCAACATCGCACTTGCTGAAATATCTATTTGCTCAAATATTGTACTTACTGAATAGTACATCACAAAAGGTTATGACATCATGGATGCAGAGATAAAGGATCAGCAGGGGGGAAGAGAATGAAAGGGGTCAGGAGGATGCCGTTAAAACAAGATACAACCCAATTCATAATGCTTGTATATTTATGTCGTTGTGTCTCAAGGCTGCCTGAAATGAGCATTTTGAACCTTTGTTAATACAATACAAATAAAAGCTTTAAATCTATGGTCAAGCGTATCATTATGGCACTCTAATCGCATTATTTTGACGTAATTTGCATGTTTAACGCGTCAACATAGCGAAGTGACTATAAATAATATCATTATCGAGGCTTCATGCCGGTGTCGTATAGCGCAGGCCACACAGCACAGGTAAGCGTCTGCAAGACAACTTTCTACCCATAGTTTATGTCACAATTAAACAAATTCTGTATTGTCCAGACCTGAGCCCTAAATCCTAAAGCTATACTTTGACCAATACTGAAAATATTGTGGCCGGAACATAATAACGCAAGCGGCACACCACATCAAATTAATGAAAAACTATGAGCTCATCTTCTTTCTGCAAGGTCTGACTTCCATATGTAACATAACCTGCAGATCCCTTTCAGGCCTCATTTAGCATCATAATTACAATAGAACATTTTTCGTTTGAAGAATCGTTCTTACATGAGCCCACAACACTATGTGCAGTCATGACTTTATATTAAAATAAATAAAACTATGCCCTAATAATAAATTTAACCTCAGTAATGTAATTAGAACGTTACCATTTCTGTTGGAGAGGTCAATATCGAATTCCTGATAGTCCTGGCTGGCTGATGCATGTTGCTTTGGCTGCAGCAGCCTGAGTCCTCGAATGTTGTCTCGAACCTGCAGTATTCTTCCTTTATCAGGAAAGAGATCACTTCCACCGACATACATGACGGTGATAACAATCTCCAGGATATCCACGTCGGTTTTCTGTTCCACCACCTACAGAGCACACGTGATTAATGTATGGTAAATCCATGTTAAAAAATATACATAATTACTGTAGCTGGCATTATTGCCCACAAATACAATGATTGCTGGTGAAGAAAGTGAATGTAACATAACAACACTTAAACAATTACAATGTATTAGCATTCTCTAAATATACAGCCACGACAAAGATCTATACTCAGTTTGAGCTGCTCATATAAATAAAGAACATTTTTCTGAAGACCGGGGGTTATAAAACTGGTGTCTACCGGCACCTAAGTGGTTGTGAAAGATCAAGGGGTCCAAAGCAGAAAGCAAACTGTTCACGCACATACCATGGATGGGCAGGTTACTATATACACGAACTATATACTCAGAAATGTATAATTATTTGCAACCCTGCGTCAATCCACTGCTGAATGCAGGCCTCCTTAACAATAATGGTGATGGGGTTGGCCATACTTCACCACAATGGTCACTGTGTGCAAGTAACTGACCGGTTCAGGTATTAATCGCCACTGGTGTTAGCTCAGGCCAGGCATTGAACTCAGGAAAACCAGGTACATAGCAGTGCTAAACCACTATACCACCACTCCCAACGTGTTAAAAACTTTCACTCAAAAGTGGGAGAAGACTCTTCTATTATCGCTAGACACCGTTTTGTTTACAAAAGGTATTGGCAAATATAGTACTGTTCACTGAATTGTCTGTACAGTATATATATAAAAATACACATTGTGAATCAAATTTACAACAAAAATAAAAGTGGTGGTGAATGCGTTACTGTAATTGAGTCACAAAATAACGAAAGTAAGAATTAAACATTACACGCACACACTCACCCTCCCACACTTGCTGATGACAACCTCGAGGTTTGCGGATACAGGAAGCAGCTCCTTCGGAGTTGCTGTCCAATCCAGCATCTGAACCTTGACAACATATTGCAATGATTCAAGCACATTCAACGTGTAACACACATGGTAAAACCGTTTTGTAACCCAATGGCTTTACATACACTATATTTTTGCACAAAACACTTTTAACGTGTAGTAACTGCAATAACTGCATGCGAGGTAATATTTAATGTGCTGTATTATACCACGAATTTACATCAATAGTGTAAAAAAATGTCATTCCACCAAAAATTAGAAAAGTTTTTTTTATTTGTCTGTCTACATTTCGTGAGATTATATTATACAGGGGTGAAGGTCAGGGCTGGAAATGGGAAGAAATTACTCGGGGAACTCATAAATGATTCCCCCCCACGAGATTTGACACTCAATCTGAGGAGGAGCTTTGCACCGTGTGTGGGTCTCTTTGCGTGCCTGTGGGTCTCCGAGCGTGTCTGTGGGTATCTTTGTTAGTCTAGGGGTCTACCTGCGAGTCAAATAACAAAATTAAACCTTGATTATTTCCAGAACGCAGTCCAGGTTCAAATGTTCACTCCGACCACGGCGTTCCGGCCCATTCCCACTACTGGAGAAGGCAGATATTAGCCTCTGATGCTTAACTGAACCGCGTGTTTTGTGATTTACCTCATCAAGCATGACTCTTGGAGATATCCACAAGTCGGAGTGCATTTGAGGTGTCGTCACCGCTTCCACATCCATGTGTCCTGCTGACGATGTGTTTGACACGTTCCACTGCAAAACTGTTCAGAGAATGTACACTTTAGAAAACACATGACCATTTAAAATGTTCAGATGTGAGCCACCATACACAGGTTTTTTTTCCCCCTCACTTTATGCGGTAGATGCGTTCCAAGAAAAGTGGCGCACGAAGCGACACAGCACGAGACAGCTGCTTGCCGAGTAGCGCAAACAGCACACACACAGCACACACACAGCCCACACACAGCACACACACAGCACACACACACAGCACACAAACAGCACACACACAGTACACACACAGCACACACACACACAATGTTGTCCCACGTCCGACCGCATAGCCGCATGTGAGCAAATTCAAAACGCACGTGGCGAATTTTGGGTAGAAATAAGTTAGCTGCATTTTCGCGAAGTCGCACAAACCGAACACGCGTAGAAGCGAGGGAGACCTGAATGTCAAAATATTACACCGATTCACGTTCTAGAGCAGGGGTCCTCAAACTTTTTAAACAGGGGGCCAGTTCACTGTCCCTCAGACCGTTGGAGGGCCGGACTATAGTAAAAAAAAACTATGAACAAATTCCTATGCACACTGCATATATCTTATTTTGAAGTGAAGAAACAAAACGGGAAAAATACAATATTTAAAATGAAGAACAAGTAAAGTTAAATCAACAAACTTGCCAGTATTTCAATGGGAACTATGGGCCTGCTTTTGGCTAATGAGATGGTCAATGTCCGGTTCCATATTTGTCACTGCTAATCGTAACAAGTGATGCAAGTGTGCATCCGTTAGTCTAGATCTGGTTGGAGATTTCAAATGTTTCATTCTGGAAAAAGTCTGTTCACAGACTTGTGCTGCCAAAGATGGTTGCCATTTTGAGTGCATGGTTCCTGAGATGAGGATATGTCTCAGAGGAGAGAGATGCATAGAAATTATGAAGGCTGCTTGACTTGAATGCGTTTTTCAGAGAGTCACAATTCTGCAGTTCAGCCAGTTCCATTTGGTAAATTGTATCCACATTTTCAATGTCAATAGAAAATGGGTTACGGAAAAGCTGTATGTCCTGTTCATGGAGATGAAGCTCTTTAAATCTACATTGGAACTCCTTTTGCAATTTTTCCAGTGAATCCACACATGTTTTGTTTGGGAATGCAACCAATGGTTTTTCCGCTAACAGATTTTGAGTTGTGGGGAGATGGCAGAAGTTTTCCTCCTTCACTTGTTTGATGAGGAGGCCTAATTTTACTTCAAATGCTTTGACATGTGATTGCATATCACAGATGAGCTTCCCCTTTCCTTGAAGTTGCACATTGAAACTGTTGAGTAGCTCTGTTACATCTGTCAGAAAGGCAAGGTGCCATTTCCATTCTGCATCATTGAGCTCTGGTACTTCTTTGTTTTTTGAAAGCAGAAAAGCTGTAATCTGTGGAAGTAAGTCATAGAAACGTTTCAAAACTCTCCCTCGACTCAGCCAACGGACTTGTGTGTGGTACAGAACATCTTCATAGTCAACATTTAGCTCCGACAGAAATTCCTGAACTTGTCTGTGGTTTAGTGCATGACCTCTAATGAAGTTAACACAAGATACCACAATTTTCATAACAGAGTCCCACTTCAGTGATTTACTACACAGCGCTTGTTGGTGGATGAGGCAGTATATGGCTATTGGATGAGAATGGTTATGTTTGTCCATCTCTTGGTTAATGCGAGCAATTACTCATTTCTTAGACCCCACCATGCTAGGAGCACCATCAGTTGTCACACTGGCTAGTTTAGCCCAGTTCAGCTCCAAACCATTCACAGTTTGGCAAACCTTTTCATAGATATCCTCTCCTGTAGTTGTTCCTTTGATGCTTTGCAGTGCAGCAAGCTCTTCTGTGACTTCGAAATAGTCATTCGTCCCATGAATAAAAATTAAAAGTTGTGCAGAATCACGAACATCATTGCTTTCGTCGAGTGCCAAGGAAAAATAGGAAAGTTTTTTTGTGGAGTTTTGCAAATGCTGATGCAAATTGTCTCCCATTTCTTCAATCCTCCGTGTAATTGTAGGTCCTGAAAGACTCACTGTACTAAACAAATCGGCCTTCTCTGGACACATCTCTTTGGCAACAGAAAGAAGGCATTCTTTAACAAATTCTCCCTCCACGGATGGTCTGCCAGTGCACGCTATTAGCTTGGCAACTTGAAAACTTGCTCGCAGTGATGAAATATTTAGCTGCTTCTGCTTCACAAAAGTATTTTGCTGAGTTGTTAATGTATTTTTCAGTTTTAATATTTTATGTTTTCTCACTTCTCCGACCAAACAATCATATTTATCTTTATGTTGAGTTTCATAGTGTCGACGTAAATTGTATTCTTTGAACACAGACACTATATTCTGGCATATCAGACACACAGCTCTTTCCTTGTACTGCATGAAAAAGTAATCATAAGTCCACTGTTCTTTGAATATCCTACACTCCGAGTCAATTTTTCTCTTTCTTGACATCATTGTTTCCTAGGGAGTCAAAATTGCTATTAGTAAAATACCAATATATATACAGCGCTACAAAAACAATATACCTGCAATAACTTTGCCCACACAGAGACATACAAACTGCACTGCCCATCAATGCAGTCTGATTGGGGGAACTCTGCTTTTACCCCAGGCTCACACTGGTGCGGGTGCCATTAAAAAGTGAATTACATCTGCAGTTTTGTTCACAGATCGCAGTGCGGTGGGCCCAATGAGTGCCCACCGCCGCAGCTCAATCAGTGCTCACCAGCGCAGCCCAATCAGTGCTCGCCAGCGCAGCTCAATCAGTGCTCATCAGCGCAGCCAAATCAGTGCTCGCCACCGCAGCCCAATCAGTGCCCACCAGCGCAGCCCAATCAGTGCTCATCAGCGCAGCCAAATCAGTGCTCGCCACCGCAGCCCAATCAGTGCTCGCCAGCGCAGCTCAATCAGTGCTCATCAGCGCAGCCAAATCAGTGCTCGCCACCGCAGCCCAATCAGTGCCCACCAGCGCAGCCCAATCAGTGCTCATCAGCGCAGCCAAATCAGTGCTCGCCACCGCAGCCCAATCAGTGCTCACCAGCGCAGCCCAATGAGTGCTCACCAGCGCAGCCCAATTAGTGCTCACCAGCGCAGCCCAATTAGTGCTCACAAGCGCAGCCCAATTAGTGCTCACAAGCGCAGCCCAATTAGTGACCATGGGCCGGATAAATGTCCTCAGCGGGCCGCATGTGGCCCGCGGGCCGTAGTTTGAGGACCCCTGTTCTAGAGTCTAGAAGCTATGTATACTAATCAAGGAAATCAATATCAACAATATCAAGGTGCCCTTTCTGATCATCTTCGATCAGCACGGTTAGCTACATGTGGTGCAAAATAAGTTCAACATTACGTACATACATGGTGTGGTGATTCTCTCCTAATTTACAACCTTAATCTAGTAGTAAAAACTCCATACAGCATTTCTGATCGTGGCAGTGAGTCTGTCCATAGTGAAACCACTGTTGACTTCCAACAAGTTCCAGCGTTTCTTGTGATCATGAATATTAATTAAATACAGATTCACTTATAACCTGAAATCTCACCTCTTGACGAACAAAATGCAGAGTGAAGTAGCAGGAGCAGGACGGATGGGATTGCTTGTGGGATGTTCATACCGAGCCCAGCTCACCAACATTGAGGAACTTCAGTGGCAGTTGCAGCAGCAAGCAGACTGCAGCCATCATCTTCAGAGTGCAGAACATCACCTTTCAGGCCATGGTCCAATGTCGGATGTTTACCCTAAAATATGATTTCGAATGAGAAAAAAAAACGCAAGAAGCAATCGTTGATGACGACCGTTCAAAAAACAATGACGAATAGCCCAATATTAGCACACACGCAAAAAGACAAAACAGTGGTGCTTTGGAAACGATTGCGTAGGAAGTACATTACACGAAGGCGTCACATCAAGGCCGTAATTATAATATATATTGGGGGGGACACATCCCCCCCCCAATGTTCAAATATGATCAAAATGTCCCCCCCAATATACTGCTATCATAAATATTAAAAAATAATAATAGCTATGCTATGTAAATAAAAACAGCTAAACCTTGGCCACAATATCTGGACTTGTCTTCATATAACAATTAATAGATTTCTGTTTATATTATTGTGGTTATGGTTGTACTTTATTAATCTCTAATCTCTGCCATTACATACAATGAAACAAGAACAGGTAAAAAAAGAAAAAACAGAGCAATGTAATACAATGCACTATTAAACATTGTAAAAAAAAAAGTTAATCCTATGTGTTAGTGATTTAAAAAATATTTTAGGCAGGAAATTCGTTTTCAAATTTAGATTTTTTTTCTAGAGGGGGGACCCCCAGACCCCCTGGAATTTAGTCTCCCCCAATGTTGACTCCATGGCTACGGCCTTGCGTCACAACATTAAACAGTGGTACTTTATAAAACGACTGTGAAGAAGTACATTACATACTCTTTGGTTCTTTCGGTAAAAATAGAAATAAAAAATAAATGAAAGTAAATTAAATCACGACGTTTCGATTGCAACACAATCAATCATCATCAGGTGTGAAAATCACAGCTAGAAATGTTTTAAACTTTACTTAAGTAAAACAAATGTTTTACTTTACTTTAGTAAACATTTTCGAGCTGCGATTTTTTTATTTTTTACCTACGTGACTTTACCGAAAGAACCAAAGCGTATGGATCCTTGCAGTCACGAAAACTTCAAATCTAGAAGTACATTCCACTACAGTGTCAAAAAGGGAGCTAGCTTAAAGTTGGCTGGAGGAAATATACCATCATCCAGCGGTGGATTGGCCATGGGTGATGATAACGAACCATGACCACGGCTCCGACATCTCAATAACAATCGTGACCTCCGCTTGAGAGGCGGGTGGCGTGGCACGCGGAGGGCCTTGCGCCATGACCCCGGCGACCCGAGGTCAATTCCCTTCCCACGGCTGACATCAGTGGCGGGTCCCTGGGTCCTCGATGCCGTCCCCTCCTCCCTCGCCCCCAACTCCATTCAACCGACCCTCAATGACCACCGTGGTGAAGTATGGGTCCCCCCCCCCCCCCACACAAACGATGAGCGGCAAGGCGTGGGGAGGCGTTCATCCAGCAGTGGATTAGCGCGGCAGGGGAAGCTCAGCAAGAGCCTGAGAATTAGAACTCCGAACTCCGTGGCCGCTTAAAGTTGCTGTGCATGAGTCACAGCGGGGACCTTCACCAAAACATCGCTCTTCAAAGCCACGACCAGATTATTAACTCTTAATTGTAAGTGTAAAGTGGGGTGGCTTTTTGTCGCTGTATTTAAATCATTAGCACGCAACCGCTCAAAACTTCCGAGGGTGGATGTCGCCGAGCTGTTTGTGTGTCGGTGGGGACGGGGGGGGGGGCAATCTGTGAATGTTTCCTGGGCAAGGGATCTTACCGAGCAGCAGGAGGAGGCTGAAGGTGGCGACGAGGGAGGAGCCCGTGATCATGGGGAGCGGGAGGATGGAGCTGATGCGATGTTCACCGCGAGGAGTTCTTCAGGCGGCGATGTCAGATCGGGGAGGGTAGCAACATTCCTTTCCGTGCGGACGTGCCGAGAAGTTGAGGCTCTCTTTGTTCAGCAAAGTGGCGAATGTTGCGCCTCTAGCGGCTGCACGTGTCCAAGACACCCCCCTCGTACTGATATCTTGCGTTACAGGGACACCCAAAAGCCAGGACCGCTCACGGTTATTGTGTATTACATTTATAAGGACAAATCACATGGGGTTGTTTATTCATGTTACAATTAATGAAACGGACTGCAATCAAACTGTACTGTAATGCACGAATACATTTTCTTTGGAAATAAATTCAGGACGGTGTCAACATTTTCAGGTGTAATATTTTAACGTTCATAAATTGTTTGGTCTCAATCGATTATATTTAATATTTTCTGAAAAGGAAAACGCATGTTCGTGACAAGTAAAATGTTAACTTAAAAACAGTGGCAATGTTCAAATGCCAGTGTTAAAAACACGTTCCTTCGGAGTGAGCAGGTAGGAACTTGGTTGGACAGCGCATTCGTGCACGACAGACAAATAATCCCTGGTGGGCAGTGTGGAACCTGTTGTTCCTACCTGTATAAATGAATTAACCCCATGTGTCCCGATTTTTGGGCCATCCTGTATAGAACTGTCGAACTCAGGGACTTTGATCTTAGGTGGTGCTTGCCTTTGACATCTGACAGTTCAGCAGCACCAGTATCACCCGTCTGTACAGATGTATGAAGGCGATGTACTCCATTGTCTGCTGGTCTATTTTGTGGTCTATATTCTCCACGAGGACCCCAATTATGTTAAATAAGTTTGCGTCAAACGAGTACTCGTGTCTCAACGGCATCTGGCCATTCGGCAGCTTTGACTCGAGCAAGCTGGACTCCTGCTGATGATGCACTGTCAAACGCAGTCAAGTTCTTGGACAGTCATACTATGCCCATCTCCCATTTAAAACATTTGTGAGAAATAATAATTCCAATTTTACCCTTGCATACTTAAAAAAACCATGGTGCTGTATACTAAAATAGCTAAATTACGAATTAGGCTATACTGAATTTCATTCTTTAAAAAAGGCATCCATATATTTTCCAACACATTCCCATATAGTTCCAATTAAAGTACTCACTCGAGTTAAAAAGAAGCACTGCGTATGAAACCAACCCACCATTTGAAAAGGAATATTTATTGAACACCATCATAAAAGCACTCAAATTCACACACTTTACACAAACATTTTACACATTTCATTTTAGCTTAAACATTTACTAATCCTGTTTATGAAAAGGCTTAAAATGGAATTTCACTCCGTATTTCAGTTAAATCAGTACAAGCGTGTAGGTTAAAACACAAAGATGCATCACAAAAGTAAATAATGTTAACATATCATCCAATGACATTTAACAATTGGAACGTTCGATAAATAATGTATATTTTAATATCTTAAATAAAAAATGCCAAACAAAAATGTTTGACACGTGGTGTCTACTTGTATCTTTCAAGTGAATTTCTATGGCATGACACTTTCCATTTGCTATATAAGTTAATTGTACAAATCACATGTGGTTGGTCATTCAAGACAAGATCCACAATGGTGCACTATTCATAGAGAGACGGCAGGCAGAAAGAGTTGCCTGCAAAGTGCAGGTGGCAGAAATCGCGACCCACGAGGGCCTTCTTGCGGCAGGGCAAGCCGGAGCGTGTGATGGCCCCACAGGGCCCTCGAGGCAACAGAGAGGACGACCTATGAAGCAGCACAGCAGTTTAAAAGTCAAAGTCAAGCCCCATGACGCAAATCGCAATCTCTTTGAACACTTCTGCAAAAACAAAAGGGATATATTGAATGTTTCGCACGTACGTGTTGTTCAGGCTGGAGCACGCCAGTGGGTCGCTCCTGCGCATGAGATGCCGTCCTGAGCTTCGACTGACCGAATGTAGAAACTCAAACGGTTCCTATTGTAAATCCACAAGCATCCAGGGAAATTAATTACATGGAATAAAAGATCCGAGCCATAATTGTGAGGGTTCACACGCATGTGCTGTACAACTGTCCAATATGCTCTCAGATTGTCCTGAGTGTCGTTCGGCACAATCTCTGATCTCACTCCTGAAGCTCCCAGAATGTGAAGCAAAATGTTGGACATCATGTCAAACACGCACAACCAGAAAATACATTGGAGAGCTATCCAAATAATTGTTTATCAATATCAAGCACAATGACTTATGTCAGTGGTAATTGTGTGTGACGTCTACTAAATTTACGTACTTTGTCAGCTGTAAGATAAATCCGTGAGAGAGAATTCCTGCGACTGTTGACATTCCGAATTGGTTTTTGAGTCGAGTTGTCCGCTGGCTCACCAAGCACAGTACTGTTTAGATTTTCAGAAGCATCTATAAAAATGATACATGTTTAAAGTGTAAAACACAAGATGAGTATTTCGAATACAATCTGTAAAAAGCAATACAGATATTCGTAAATAAGGTGAGAATAAAGAATACACATTATCGTATGATTTATAATATTGTATTATACACAATTCTTTATTACCTCCTACACCACTGACAGAATCATTACTTGACGAATCTTGTGCTCCAGATTTCCTGTAAAACACCAACAGCAGTTGTCATCCATCTAAGGAGTTGATCCCCATCGAGTTAGTGACGTTTAATGTTAAAATTACTAATTGCAATAAAACAATTTACCCCATTGGGTCAGTCATCTACCGTGAAGTGTAATTTATCCAGGTTTTTTTTGGGTTAGATCACGTAAATATATAAATGTGTCGTTAAAACCCACCACCACCCGACACAGCCAACTAGTAAGGGTTGTCACGTAAACAGAACATGCCAATTCGTCACTAGTACAGCACACCGGTGTGTTAAAGAGCCTAGCCACAACATTTACAATCTGAGTACGACGTTTAGCCAGAAATTACAACTAGCTTCATCAAGCGACAGCTAAATTTGTGGAGAAGTCCACCTGTTTCGTTCCTTATACAAAAGGCGTAGATGTGGTGACGACACTTCTGCATTCTTGCGCAGTGGGGGGGATTAATGAGTCAACGTACATTATGCATGCGTATTTTCCGAGCCCTTTGATATTGTCCTTCCTGTTCATTGCGTGTATTAAAATAACCGCATCAACGGTAATCCCTATTCAAGTATGGCGGCCTGTATAGGCATGCATTTAAATGTATTATTTGATGATTTGCTTCGACGTAGCACTAAGTCGGTAGCTATCCGAACTGTTAAAAAAAATCAATTTCGATAGATTAACTAATTAGTCTTGGCCAGTAGTAGCGAGTTTTGCACAGAACTTCAACACGATCAAAATCAATTGAGTGTCCTTGTTGGCACGCGTGTTCTGCTACTGCTGACAGTTGTATTTGGGTGTATTTCATATTTCTCTATGTTCTTTAAGTCTCGTGCTAAACATGCGTCATGTTTGCCCAACATAGCATTTGCGACAAGTGCAGATAATCCTGTACACACCTTCTGTTGATCGCTTCGGTAACCAGATATTAATGTACATATCTAAACCAAGCAGAGGATTTTAGTGTGCTTGAAGCTATTGCTTTTGTTTCAAAATCTTCCATGTACAAATTCGCTATCACAGGAGACAAGGGACAGCCCATTGCTGCTCCTTTCATTTGTTTATAAAAGTCACCTTTCCACAAGAAATAGGTGTTCTTTCGACAGTGTTCAGTTAGTCTAGGGATATCTTTGGCTAAACCTTTGTTCATTACCAGAGTATCAAGTAGTTTAATGGACTCGTTGACAGGATCTCTCGTGAACAGAGAAATCCCATAACAACTTAGGAGAATATCATTAGGGTTAAGTTAAATATCTTTCATTATATTTACGAGATGTTCCGAGTTTTTGGTGAACAAAGAGGTCCTACCGATGTAGGGCTGTATTTGTGTCGTTCTGTATTGTGCCAATTTTTATGTGGCAGAACCTATTGTCCTAACTATGGGTCTTAATGGTACATCAGGTTTGTGAATTTTTGGTAGCCCATAAAGTCTTAGTGGTTTTGATGCCCTTGGTTTGATCAGGGATTGCTCTTCCTTGGAAATTGATGGCTTGGGCAATGACTACCGTTGTTTTACGTTCCAATGTGCTGGTTGGGTCTCGTTTAGTTTTATCGATTAAATATTTGATTTATTATCGTAGTCCTCACGGGGCATCACAACAGTTGATTGACCCTCATCAGCAGCAAGAATTTGGATAACTTTATTTGCTCTCAATTCTCTTAAGGCTTTTGCTTCACTTAAGATAATATTTGTTTTTGGCAATTTGCTGTTCTGAATAATTTTAGCAACCCAATGCCTAATCTCAGCTTTATTATGGGGGCAATGTCTAACTGCCGATTCTACTTCAGCAATTCTCATCGACAAGGATTGTACGTTCAAATGAAGTAATTAATGTGGCCGACCATAGATTGACCAAACCATTTGCCTCGTATAATTATGCACTTGTATAAAAAAAAATCCATTATCAGCATCTAACTCAATTGTTTATTTGTTTTCTCTACAATATTCTCATGATTATAACAAACAAAAGATGAAAACCACTAAAAAACCTTCTAAGAGACAACCTAATCTTGAAGAAACAACCAAAATGTCAGAGACTAGCTTTCATAATTATAAGTCAATTCATGAAGCGCCTATTAAATATCTAAACGCGTCATAAAATGCAAAAAACATATTCTAAATGAATAGTTGTATAAACTTAAGTTAAGATGTGGTTTAAAAAAGGTCCACATCAAAATGTGTTTTAGTCCTTAAACCTATAGGCTTGCCAGACAGTGTGCAATGACATTTAAAACTCTGGTTCTTCAAAGTTGTAACACTAGTCAAGCTTCGTTAAACAAATAATTAGGCCATTAGCATGCAGGGCTTACATACCAATAGTATCAATTAATCTTATTCTATCAGCCTGCAGTATATTTGTAATCAACTACATTTACTCGGTTTTGCTGTTGAGACAAATGCAAGAATATTTACTTAATTCTCCACATCCATAATGATTTTATAGCTGAGAAATGCAAGTCAATAACTGGGCATGTCAGCGAGTATTGTTAACATATGACAAGATGGTCAGCATACGGAGAGGAATGGTTTCATTGAAGAGCTACATCTGATAGCAACTTTGTGCATCTGACTGAGCATTGTGATAGGTGTGCATTAATTCCATTGGCGAGCCAGTGTCTGCTCAACAAAAGTGGTGGCATTTCAGCCAACCACAGATCTGTGTTGTTGTGTCATTCAACATGTATAGTTGTGCGTCTCAGGATGTGTATGGGCTTCTCAGTGCGTTTGTCTGTTTGGCGAGCCTGCCATGTGGGTGAAGAAATATTTTGGATGGACTTCAGTGTATTTCTAGTTTATGAATTCCAATATAAATGTAGGATTACAGAGTTGCTACATTCAGCAGCTTAACAGAGTAGACAACATAATTGGAGACAGACCAGCAAAATAAAAAAAACAGGGAGGTAAAGCAATACAGATCAAGGTGAAATAAACCCATATAGAATCCTTTACTCAGAATTCACTTCATGTTAATACTATAGAATGAACTTGTCATTTAAAAGAGGCCACAATCGTAATCGAGTTTGATGAGGTACATAACAAAAAACAATCGTACGTACAATGTTTTTATTTGTGCAAGTGTGTCTATATATATACACATTTGGAAAGACCTTGTACCTGCACTTGAAGTGTGCTGGTGCAGCCACACTGGGAGCGGAGGAGCCCGAGACGTGGGGCTGGAGCTTGGAGTAGAAGGTCCATGCACGCACTACCAGAAAGTATCCTGTACCCGGGTAGGCACTCGCAGCCTCAAGCAAACCATATCTCAATCGATGCGTTTCATTTACCAGCATGGTTTAAAGTTATGTTATTTGGTTCACTCAACTGTGTGAAATAATACTGAAGAACACGTCTAATATTCTCTATTCCTCTCCCATAAACATATTCTCTCTAAATAAACACAGCAGAACATAGTTTCCAGAGTCGTCTAAACATATAAGAAACCATTATTCATGTGACCGTGTGGGATACCTACCCGCAGCGAAGGTTACTGTGAGAACGGAGAGTTCAATGAAGTCCAAGGAGGCTCCAGTCTTAATCTCAGATATTGCGTTCACAACAACACACACTATCAGCATGGCCCGGGTGAGGGCCGGTGCCTGCAAGAACATCACCACCACCGCTGCCAGGAGTAGATATGCCGCATGCAGTACAAATGTGTACACTACCGAGATGTTATCACCTGTGAGAAAACAAGAGGTTCACAATTAAACCAAAACGAGGGGGAATCCTTTAACTTTCCCATTGGTCACATCCCAGGTGTGTTTTCCCAATTGTACCGCACGTTGTTTGGCATGACGTCTGACTTTGCGCTACGCGTGTTTGCTAGCAGCTCTGCAACAACAGATTAAAAAAAGAGAAGAGCGTGGGCTAAATAATCAGACCATCAAATGTGTGTTCATGTGCCAATATTTGGTCTTAACTCACCAGCCCCTCCGAGAAGTTGCGCAAGCCAGTCGAGTTTCTGGTCCATGTTACTTTGCATGCTGTCCACCAGCTGCAGAAGGTATCCCACTGTGCGGTTTAGTCTCTGCAGATTGCTCATCAGAGACGAGTAATACTTGCTCGTATCATCCTGATACATGCTAACCAATGCCATGTGTGCCTCTGTCGTGAGAAAATAATTTGGTTAAAAACATCTTTGGCAAACATTTTTGCATTTTCTTTGAAGATACCTTTCCGAAATATATTTGCTTGGGGCTTTAAATGCAGCCTCTATAGCAGTGACCTTCATTGCAGGGCACGCGGGCCACTGGTGGTCTTTAGTGCGGCCCCCGAAAAACACACAAGTGAAAACATCCCCCATCATCGTGCTGTCGAACGCAATAGTTTGAATTGTGGCAGATCAAACACTGATGTCTTGTCGACAAAAGTCCCCCCCCCCCCCCTCTGAAAATAATTTAAGAACACTGCTGTTTCGTATGTTGAAATATTCAGATTTCAAAATCTTTCTGTTTCATTCCTTAACCATGTTGTACAGCTGATGTACATGGTCCATCACTACCTTAACCCTAGTTACCGATTAAAATCATACCCTCACATTTCATATTTCCATCGACGTTTGATTGATTTAATCCACATGTATCTTAATTAATTGTGCTAACAGCACCATCTTATTTAATTTTAACTAAATTTAATCTCACCCCAGTCCTCTGCTTCAGCATGGTCCTTATACACTCAGCTACAACCTCACCTGTATTTCCTCATTTCTACCGTCATCTCTATTATGTTCAAGATAAGCTGGTTTTCATAAATAGTCACAGCACTTGTGTAACCATCACGCCTACTTGAAGGAAATGTTTTACCAAGTTTTTGATGACTTTCAGCAGCCCGGTTTCCTACATCGGAAAGATCTTTCAGAATGGTATGGTGCCCTTTCTTCACAGACACTCCTTGTTGCTCAAGCTCAGATGACATGTCATCTGTACAAAACATTTCAATCCTGTATTAGGTTACACGACGAGCCTGTCAATGACGTTTAACAGTTCAAAACTACTTTTACTGGATCAAGGACCCAATGCACTTGTTGGCAAACCTGATTCGGTGAATTGTTTAAATATATTTCAACAATGCAACATAGGATGTAATACATTTTCATACTTCATACGTAAAAATATTTTGCATTCCAAGATGAACATGCCCAATATTAAATACTCTAATAGAAATAAAAAGAATGGACAATCTGAACAACGTAAGCGTTTCACAAGCAGGTCCACTTTCCAATGTTTCTCTGAATCTTCATCGTCATCTCTGCGAGCAGTTGGTGTCCTGTGGCGATGAGACTCTTCTGCTCGAGGACCTGCTCCATGCTGGTACTTATGGACAATTGCAGATGACTTTGGCTCTGGTCAAGTTGTTCTTGATGACTTAGCAACTTGCCCTGCCCATCCAACACATTCTGGATCGAGGCTTCTGTAAGCTCTGAGAGTTTCTCATTACTTTCCTGTACACAAAACACAATGTAGGCAGGCATGCATTCCAGGCAGAGCAGGGAAAACTATTGTAATAGAAATATCCACATACTGTATATTGAAAGAGGTATGGCAATATGAAATGTGGCGAGAACTTGAACACTAACATTGAGTCCTCTCAGTTTTTCCCTCGACACTTAGAAACATGCATTTATATTATTTATTATATTTTTCTGCTATACATTTCCACATCCTAAGCCACTTTAAGCTATTATTTGTGGACAGGTCGGTGTTAGACCAGAGGACCAGGCTCAAAAGAAAGCTGTATCTGGTGTGGACCAATCAGTTTCAAAGTCAATGCATATCTCAGAGTATGTTTTTTGTTTTCATTCTGATCACAAGTATTGTGGTTAATGCAGACGCGATTCCTTCATAAAAGGTTTCAGTTTGGTGTTTGAACATCTTAACACCTGTTTTGTTGCCAGAAAAAAGTGGAAAACCTATTCTCATATTTTGGTACTGGCAAAGGAGGTCCCATGATGAAACATCTCAGTTGTTCATTTAGGTTTTCAATTAATTGCCATAAAAAGCTTAATCCATAAATGAAACAATTAAAACCATGTGCAATGGTGAACTAAATAAAAGCCTAAACAGTTGAGGACCGTCCATTAAATTGAAGCCGGAAACAACATAGTATATACATTAATCTCACCGACAGCTCCTGACGAAATTCTAAAAATGCTCCCACACACAACCCCCTGTGTGTGTGTGTGTGTAAAACAGCCGACTCGCTAGAAGTTGTCACCTTGATACGCTGCATGGTGTCGAGCTGGTCATGGGCCGTCTCCACAAGCGAGTTCACCACGTGCTCAGTCCTCTGACGGAACTGCAGCTGCCTCGTGGCGTAGCACACCGAGCGCACGCGGTTACTCACGATGTGGTACGCATTCCACGTGGTCGGATCCATTTCGGCCGTGCACTGGGAAAGGCTCTGCAAAATGCACCAACTTTGCGCGTAAGTGTTGTTTTGTTCAAGGCAAATCAAGCGGCACACGTTTTACTCGCGCAGTAATTAGAACGCGACGACGACGTTTGGTCGCGCTAATCTTCTTGGGGCACATTCTGACGAGGTATAACCCCCCCCCCCCCCCCCCCTTGGGCTGCAAGAGTTTGCACGGAAGGGTCTCATGACGGCACGACACCACCGTGAGCGACAATTGGAATTCGAAGAAAAGAGCCGAGGCAAATTGGGGACTCACCATATCGGCTGTGCACTGGAACGTGCGTCTATCCTCCACCATTGATTGGCAGTTCAGTAGAGAGACCCCAAGCTTGGCCAGATCTTCTTCAGAGAGCTCATCACAGGATCCCTTCAGGCGTCCGATCACCTGTGACAAAGTACACACACACACACGGTTTACATCCACAAGTCTTTTTACTGAATGTGTAAATTGCGTCACTTTGCCTACACGATTGTGAGAAAGCCACATGCGGTCCGGTTTATTTGAGTAAACTCTTTGGACCGGCAGAGGTTACAGGGTAATGTGAGAAGCACAAAAATAGGAAGGTTTCAATGTGGCCCGCTAGGTGGTGGTAGAGTTACACAAAAAGATACATATTTTTAAAAACTTTTTTTAAAACACAATTTTATGAAATGTACTAAACAGTTAAAATATTCTACTTCTGTTCAAGTACTTTGCATTATATATGTTTAATATACTGTTGTAACGGAATAAAAATAAAAGCGTGGGGCATAACGTGGGCAATGTTTAAAACTATATATTTTTTATGATAGAATATAGTAGTCATTAGTATGACATAAGTATACCACGTTTGCAGTCGATACCATATTGGGAAGTGGGTTAAAATTGAGTTACAATATTTGATGATACAACAACAGGCAGAGTGAGTTAAATAAAAGCGTGTAATCATAAAAAAAATAGTTTAAATTTGCAGATCTTCGTGTGCGTAATCTTCTCGCATGCGGACTCTCTTCGAACGCTTCAGCTTCCTGCCACGTGAAAATAAACTCGACGAGACGGACCATCCTAAACAACAGCGTTGAGACGGATTGTTTGCGGAACAAGCGATGTCGTGATTGCAGTTAGTTGACATTCAGCCCGCGATGGGATAGGAAGTTGCTGAGGTTTGAAGCCGACCCAGCGGGATTGTCTTTAGGGATTTAGAAATGGGTGGTTTGTCGGGACTGTCGGTGACAACTGGTGATGGTTGGTGGCGGTGGTGGTGCGGTGTGTGTTAGGTGGTAAACGACTGTCGGTGGTGATGGCGGTGATTGAGAGGTTCGGTGGTGCTTAAGTGATCGTGATGGTGGCGTTTATAGTGGTGGCGAAGGTGGCGTATGGTGGTGACGATAGATCGTGAAGGTAACGGTGGTGTTTGGTGGCGATGATCGTGGTGGTTAATGGTGGTGTTTGTTCATCGTGGTGATGATAGTGGTGCTGTTCGGTGATGATCGTGGTGGTAATTGGTGGTGATAATGGAGGTGTTTGGTGGTGATGATCCTCGTGGTGGTGGCGGCGGTGGTGATCGTGGTGTTTAGTGGCGATGATGTTCGTGGTGGTGATGTTCGTGATGGTGATGTTCGTGGTGGTGATGCGAGAGGTGGGCGCACCTGGTAGTGGCAGGTGTCGAGTGGGGACAGCTCCAGGTGCCGCGCCTCGGCCAGGAAGCGCTCATCAGCGAACGCGAGCCTGAAGGGAGCTGCCCCGACTCCCCGCCTCTCGGGTCCACCTTGCGAGCCATCCTGGGGGGCCCCATGCCCGTCCTCCTGGGTGCCGCTTTGAGCATCGGGTGTCGGTGCCACTGCTGGCTTGTCTCTCCTCCTGAACCAGCCGAAGAGGCCGCTGCACTCCGCCAGCAGCCACGCGTAGAGGACGACCCGGAGCAGAACGCCGAGACGCATGTTGGACGGGATAGCAACAAAGAACAGCACGGCTCAGATCTCATTGTTTAAAGCAGATTGCCGGTAAATCGGCTGAAACCGGTTCCCAGAACGTGTTCACGTCCCCGTGGCCAGGTGGGATTGTCGGATGATTTTTGCCAATTGCATTGGAACTCGGCGCAGGCGTAATTGTAGGGCTCAGCTGCTCACCATATCGGGCCCATTATTCCGTGAGCGGTGGTTCGAGTAGCCAAGGAGACATCAACAACAACATCATCAACAGCAGCAGCCGTGATCAATCTACTGCTGAATTACGGCCATCCCAAGTAGTCGCCACACACCAACAACCATTTTAGTATACACGTCATGGGGGCACGTTTTTATTGCGCTTGTGGTTATGTTAACAACGGTAAAGTTGTGAACCTCATTTGCCAGTAAAAATATGATAATTGGTTCTTTACCCTTCTATCTGGCAACAAAACTGACACCTTTTTACAAGGAGTCATGTTTGCATAGACCGCAATACCTGCAGTCATAATACAAACAAAAGAACATAACTCTGATAATGTGCACTGTCCTTGAAGTTGATTGGTCCACACCCGAGACAGCTTTCCTTAGAGCCTAGTCTCATATGGGTTGGACCAGATGACGCCAAAAGGCGCACTAGGCTCTAAGGAAAGCTGTCTCGGGTGTGGACCAATCAACTTCAAGGACAGTGCACATTATCAGAGTTTTGTTCTTTTGTTTGTATTATGACTGCAGGTATTGCGGTCTATGCAAACATGACTCCTTGCAAAAAGGTGTCAGTTTTGTTGCCAGATAGAAGGGTAAAGAACCAATTATTCACTTTACAATGTTTTGCCAACGTTCCACAAATGCTGTGATAATATGTTTACTTACAAATAAAGAAAAATGTGTACATAGGCCTATTGATATTCCAGACCAATGTTATTCAGCAGCATGTATTGGCCTGGAAACCCCATTATTAGGTCTATGGACTAAAACATTTGTGTTAATATGTCGAGAGACATTTAACATAGTTCTGTACTCGTTGGTTCTTTCGGTAAAGTCACGTAAAATAAATACGTGACTTTACCGAAAGAACCAAAGAGTATGAATTCCTGCAGTCACGAAAGCTTCAAATCAACATAGTTCTGCTTATATATGTTGACTCAATTGTCTAGAGCAACATATATCGAGTTGGTATATGAAAGTAATTGGGACAACACATGAGTTGGTATATTACAGTAATTGGAACAGATGTATGTGGGAAACGTAAGACTTTTACGTCTTCTGCACGAATTCTGTTTGCTAATTTCACATGTGAAGTCCAAGGCTACATTCAATCTCAAGTGAAACACGGCACTGCGGTTATCATTGGTGGACCTCAAATTTGAATCAATACCCCGAACGCATTTAGGCCGAGTGTGTCCACATTTTATAATTTTGAAAATTACTCCGTGGAGGGAAATATAGTGTCTTGATCGTCATAGTCTGTAAATGTTACGAATATCAAATGAACCCATGAATGTATTAAACTATATCACGTACTATTAATTTCCTACTGGCTCCAGAAGCACTCTGACGTTGCAAACTTGGTATGCAGTCAATTTTAATCGGTGTTCATTTAATTTCCCTTACTTTCGAAATCGTTTAAGCTATTAATTGTTTTTGCACGAGGTCGACAACTCAAATCAAGTCGTCGCCCCGTAATTACTGTGGCGAATTTCCACAGCTCTCTCTCACAAAGCCGACGTATTCTGTTAAATTCAGCTGCTGGATTACAGCTTGCTTTTGGGATTGTAACATCAAAACAGACGAGAGATATACATCCTTTAAAAAATCTACTCAATGCATACACGTCAAATTTTCACGTGGTTATATTCCTAAAAGTATGTGGAAGAGTTGGTCAAACACCCCCCAGACAGGCTCTCGAGAGCTCGCCTCTATATGGAGGTCCTCCCACCAGCAGTGACGTGAGCGAGGCATTCCAGGGCTCCACCTTTAGATGTACATCCCACGAGTCTAGCAGTGGCGAAGTGTGTGCACGGTATTGCACTCCACGATGATCCAACTGATGGGAGGCCCTCATCCAGCCGTGCATAGACGATGGGCTTTGGAACACACTGATATGTATTTGTATGCGTGGAGTTATCACATTTCTCAATGGTTCTAGATTTGAAGCTTTCGTGACTGCAAAGATTCATATTCTTAAGAATTTCTCAATGGGGCGGTTAAATAATAAACGCCAACGTATCCTACATTGATAAATGTCGTTACGTATCGTAACAAGTGGATCATGAACATTCTCCAACGATGAACGCGAAGGGACTTGCCTTGGAGGGTTAAATCTATTTTATTTTGCGGTGGTTGAACAGATTACTAAAGGCAATATACAAAAACAACTTCAACGTTATATTGAACCAGCTTTGTGAAACCCCGTGACCCATACGGCGTAGGACTTTAGCAGCTGTTTTAGACTAATTTCAGGGTGCTGATTCCAAATCTGATCTCAGATTTGCTCTATCACATCTCATTTTTATGCTATCAGCATATCCCATTTTCATTGATTTTACCCGAAATTAACTCTGTCACTTATGATTGCAAGTTGTTGCAAGTCAGTGACTGCTTTAGTGTTAAAATATGGTGCTGTATTTTAGGATAGTGTGTTTATAATATCATTTTATGTAGATATCCACATTTATTTAATATTTTTCTTCTGCAGTTTTTATTGAAAATGCAATATTTGATATCTCAAAAACCTGATGTGATAGACAAAAACTGATGCCAGATTTGGAATCAGCACCCCAAAATTATCTTAAAACCGTTGGAATACCTTATGCCAGAAAACGTGTGTTGACCAGTGAATTATTGCAGCATTGTACAAGATTCGATATCACAAGTATAGCTAGTACTTGAGATTGAATTAAAATAATGGCATGAGTCTACACACTTGCTCGGCAAAAATGAGTGGCGGCGTGCTAACATTTTGAAATTCGTCATCACGCGAATCACTTATGATTTGTGAAGTGAGCCCCCTTGTCATCGAGGCCATCACCACCACCAACCACCACCTACACCCACCACCAACCACCAACTACACCAACCACCACCACCCACCATCAACCACCCATCACCCACCACCACCAATCACCACCACCACCAACCAACACCACCAATCACCACCACCAACCACCCACCACCACCCACCACCACCACCCACCACCTCCACCCACCACCACCACCACCCACCACCTCCACCACCACTCCTGTGCCGTGCATCTTGGCCAGGAATATTCGCGCCCTGGCGCCCTCTGCTGGCGACCCTGGGGGGCTGATCAGGGGACTCGTGGAGGAAGCGGCAGCGAGGCTACAGCAAACAGCAGCCGGAGAGGGGCAAGAGGCGGCCTCCAAGCATGGCGAGTGAATGTCTTTCTCTAAATGACAAGCTCCCTGCGCCACATTCACTCTCCCCCTAACCCTCCTGTCTCCTCGCTCTGAGATCGGCGCTCGGTCCCACACTCTCGTCTCTACGCTCTCTTCTCGATTCGTCGCACTCCTGTGCGCTCACGGCAGACACCGGTGACGATTATCTGAAGCGGTCCTGGGCCTCCCCTTAGATCCACTCGGCCTCAAACGAGTAGCCGGTGCGTTCATGCGGTAAACATCGCCCGCTGATGGAGACAACAACGGCGGCCGTGCGTGCTCTGTGCCGCATGTGCCACCCCACACAACCTTTCGTACGCCGCGGCCTTCCCACAGGCGCTACTCGCTCGCGAACGGCCCCTTGGCCCCCCAGCAGCCCGGTGTGAGCTACACGTGGGGGGGGGGGGGGGTCCCTTCTTTGTGCTCATGGCCGCGCCCTTGCGCGCACGTGGTGGCCACGTGCCGGGTACAGTGCCGCTGTCACCGGGTGCCCAGCGCACGTGGCGGCTACGGCGCCACGTGCGCTGGGCACGTGGCGCCGTTATTGCTGCCCGTAATCTCCAGTCACCGTGTCTTAACTTCACCATTGTCGTGCTTTAACGACACCGTTGTCGTTTCCTGGAAATTGTTCACACGATTGGGATGGATTTCGATTCCGACATTGGTGCACCGGATCTCGTGTGGTTGTTATACGAGATGACAATTGAACGCCGATTGATTCTCTGTAGCGAGTGACATCGGGGGATTGTCGGGCACGTTCAGTCAGGATGGATGTATGTTGCGCTCTTTCGAATCTGGGTTCGGATAGAGACGTTGACGGCCTCAATTTGTCTATCCACTGCTGGATTAAGACCTTCCTGCACCTCACCAATCGGACATTCATCTGATGTGATCATTAAATACAGGCGACCGTTTTCAGGCGAGGAATCGAAAAATGTCTCTTACAAAATGTTGACTTCCCGAGGACGTTGCAGACAAAATCATGTCCGTCCTTTTCACAAGTTACATGATCATTCCACAAGGCACAGTAATAACACGATATAAAATTTGGTTGTCCAGTATTATTGGACATTTTCAGTTGGTAGTGTTGAAGGAAATTTTTCCCTTTTTGTTTCCATGTATCACAGAAGAGTAAAAAAACCGAACAAACATACAATGGGCTAGCTGGAAAGGGCAGTGCCACACGTTATTCAAGTACTGTAACTTCTAAATGATGCATCACATTCCCTAATTGACAATGACCATTGCAATAGTTACAAATGGCAGTGTGTACCTTAATTACACATGTCTGTTCAATGAAATAAGTGCAACCTGTGAAATTAATGTTGGTATTTTACGTAAAATGTTCAACGTTTTTGAAGAAAAATATATTTCGTTTTAAACAATATTGAATGTCACCAGTCAGCTTGCAATACTATATTTATTACGAAAAAGGGTATTGAGGTACTGGATATTATGATAAATGTCTATTCCCATTGAGGTCCCACTTAAGTTGCCCTTTAAAACAGTTGTTCATGTGCTTGCAGTTCAACTTGAATCGCGGATGGCGTGCATTGCGAAGTTGTCGCCTTGGCTATGGACAGCATACGAACTGCAGCAAAGCCACCCAGAAAGACTCTGCCGAAGTGCCCATTATTTGTATTCCACACAAGATACAGCAGCGCATTGAAAACGTTCAGAAGCTCAAAACTAACAGGTATGGTACGAGTGAAGGTCCGGATTTGTGCTTGGAAACAATTAAATATATTTCAACATTTATTTATATATACCATTATAAATGTTCTGATTAGTACATTTTTTATTGTTTAACGTAAGATTGATGACGTTTTTTTGTTGTAGGTCACTAAAAGTATACACAATGCGAGCCGGAAAGATGCTGATCCGTGCCCGGAGGCCAGAATATAATCAGCATTCCAGCATCACTCACAGCAAGTTCGCTTTTCCCCGGCTTGCCTCTCAGGGCTGGAAACACAACAAATCCATTGGAGATTTCTTTATCATAAACAGAATGCAAGAGGTATGTGAGATCATAGCATCCACTTCGAAGACAGAAGAAATGTAAATATATCAATATAAAACCTCAAGATGTTCCGCATGGGAGGCAGTGTAATTCTTAAGGCATGATGCCGATAATGAATGTAGCATCACGTGTTTAATGTGACTGGATACATTTCACCACGTGCACAACAGACGATTGTGGACATGAAGTTGAACTATGTCGTGCTGAGCAGAATGTGGGACTCCTTTATACATTCTTTGTTCCAAAGCATGCATGAGTTCAATCTTGATTTGAAGCTTTCGGGACTACAGGAAACCATACTCTCTGGTTCTTTCGGTAAAGTCGCGTAGATAGAAAAAAATGATAAAAGAACACGACGTTTCTGTCGCAACACCTGATGACGGACGCTTGTATTACGACCGAAACGTCGTGTTCTTGTATTATTTTTTCTACCTATGTGACTTTACCGAAAGAATCAGAGAGCATGCATGAGTTGTGTAACTGATGGCTTGGATTACAGTTTGTATTATATCCTCGTCGGAGCATTAACTTTCTGAAGTTATATGTAAGCATATATTTTTTTTATTTTACCAGGTAAGGCCCACTGAGCTATGTAGCTCTTTTTCAGAAGCGACCTGGCAACAGACGATAGCTCAATGAAGTGGCTTATGATGTGGAAATGTATATCAGCCAAATACTCTAAACGCATGTTTCTAAATGTGGAGGAAAAAAACTGGAGGACCCAGAGACAAATCCACGCAATTAGAGGTGGAACATGCAACCTCCAAATATACAACAGGATCAAACCCACGACCTCCTGTATACCAGGCGAGGTAGTTAACATCTCACCACTGTGGATATGGCTATGATGTGGTGTTCATTGGTGTGCTCTTTTTCAGAATCCAATGGAACCTATTGTGGAAATTGAAGGGGACGGCAAAGAAATACAAACCAATGCCAACAGCTTTAGATCGTTTCGAATGTCTGCGGAGGTGATGCAGGCATTGTCCAGCCAAGGCATCCAGGCTCCTACTCCAGTACAGGTGGGCATGCAGTTGTTTTGTATAAATGTGAGACATCATTTACTTGTTGGATGGAAAGCAGTTTCTGCAAATAAGTTTTTGGTAAAAAAAATGATGTTGAAAACAAGGTAGGAAAGTTGTTTATGGCAGCAAATCAATGAGGACCATAATATATTATGTGGAATTGTGCGGCTTACCAATGTCGACATGCAGTGGTAAAGAAAACCTGCAGTTTAAATTTACTTTTTGGTCTTGATAGAAGTTTCAGTACAGGATTTTGCATTGAATTCACTATCGTGTGGGAATAGAAATGCTTTAATTGGAATATGAAGAGTGGCATCATGTTCAAGCCATCCATCAATCGGTTTGCCAGGACAGCTGTGGTCTGTTGTGTTAATCCTCAATGACTTATGCATATGGCCTCATATCAGGTGTCATTGACAGTAGCAGGTGGAGTATTTGGCAATTTTATGGATCCAGTAGCATTCCCACAAGGTTTCAGGTTTTAGTTAGGTCAGTGAGAGACATCTTCCTGATTTGACTTGGTGAGCTATAGGGCTTTTTTGTTGTCAATGGAGATCTCTATGGTTTTATGAGCAGTGGTGAATTCGTCCGTGGGTGCAATGCGCCGAAGGAGTGCGATGTCTGATCAAGCACATCAGTGTCCTAAACCTCTGCAGCGTCGTGCTTTCTACCTGTGTTGCGTTTAAAGTCATACCACTTTATACCAAGCAGAGTTGGTAACCCATGTAAAACGCCTCTAAGCTTTGTGTTGTTAATAGCTGATGGGCTACAGTACTTTTTGATGGACTCCCCACCCCATGTCGGTTGTTGGGGTTGTTTGACAATACTTGACCATGCCGGTCAGTGTGAGTCTGACTGGAGTGGGGGGTGGTGGCGAGGGTCAGTTCACATTGAGTAACCACTGATGTCAGCCATGGCCAAGAATCAAACTAAGGTGTCAAAGGTAGTGCAATAACCACTACGCCACTGCTCAACCCCATTTAGTGTGCATACTATATAGCCCAATAAAATGTTTGTATTTTAATGTCCTGTACTTTGTTTAAACAATATCGCGAGTTTAAACATTGACCGCTTTATTTAATTTTTTTCAGATTCAAACAATTCCGCTAATCATGAAGGGATCCCATGTTCTCTGTGCAGCTGCTACAGGTGAGCCTGAATACAGACATAGCACGTGCTGCACAGACCACTACATTCTTATCCTTAACTCATGGATTCTGATGAAGCCAATGAACAATCCACAGATGAGCATGGAGATCCATTTAGGGATACCCCACTATAATAATTATAATAATGAAAAATGACACGGAAAACACAATCTCCTCTTGTGATTCGGAGCCACTGCTTTCACAACATTCAATCACCTGTTCAGAAGAAAGTGAGAGGATTATTATTCATACATCAATTGGGTATATAAACGGATCATCCTGTATTTGAGGTGAATCATATTTAGAGCTAAATACAGCCACCGGTTTCCCTTAATGCACAAATTTCGTTACTTTTGCCAAAATGTGCAGAATTGATGTTGGAAAGAATATTGCATATTTAGAAACTGTTTGGTAATTCATCGCAGCACACAAATTAACTGTGCAGTACAGTAACTTTATCACTGCTCCATTGTGTTTCCTGCATATTGTTACCACAATATTTTCCTTGTGTATTTGGAAGCGCTAAACCGGTGATTGATTATGAGTTTAAATAGAGACGCTCTTTGTTTATGTATGTATGTTGAACGTATAACCAGAGTCCTTTGAGACCAGCAGTGTCTTAGTTCTATTACCCCATTGTAACTGAACTAAGTAGTTAAACATTGGGATTAGCATCCTCAATACCGATGATGTAAATATATTTGTTTCCTCTGTGAATTGAAGCTCCACTCAATTTGGAAAATGAGTTAATTTTTTGAAATGCTGATTTTTGAAGGACGTGCAATGTGTTTTTTGTGCCATTTCTTACAATTTGTCAAGTGCGACGGAAAATGTTCCTTTGCTATACATTTATCCATTGGTTTTCGTATGCTCATGCTTGCACTGTGCCGCTTACCAAGTCCACCCGACTACATGTCGATCGTTATCTTACGTGTCACCTTCACATCTTATAACCGCGTTCGTGGTTTTCCAAGTTGTGCTCCAAGTGAGAGACGTTGTCTCTCTGCAGGCAGTGGCAAAACGCTCTGCTACCTGCTGCCGATCGTGGAGCAGCTCCGGGACGAGGAGAAGAAGGGTGGCGTGACGACGCAGCTGCGATGTCCACGCAGCGTGATCATTGTTCCCTCCCGTGAGCTCCTCGACCAAGTCAAAGTGAGAAAGGCAAACGTCTCGCCAAGACTGAAAAAGATGTCCTGTATTGTAACTGTGCACTTGCGTATCGGGGGGGGGGGGGGGGGGGGGGTGAGCGGAGTAAACTTGGTCTAAAAAAGTAAAGGTGCAGCTCTACAATTTTTTGCTAACGCCATTGTTGGCAAAAGGGTCTCGGCTAGAGTCAGCTGTATCAGGGCTCCTCTAGAGGGTATTTAGCCAATTCTTACACACTTGCCAGATTTCTCGGAAGACATGGAAGTACTCGGACTTTAGCACACTATACAAGACTTGCTGAACAACTCACTGTGGCGTACCCATTTGTGTTGCTGGGTGGACAGAGGGCCGGGGGATTTAAGAAACGTGTTCCCATATTTTCAACTGTCGCACTGGGAGCTCAAAACGAGCCAAAGATTTCTGTATTGCAAATTCAGTGTGCTAAGCTTTACACCATTGTAGCAATCCAAAACTTGCTCTCATTGAATTTAAATCCTTGCTTTACATACATTTGATTAAGGGACGGGTCATTGTAACTTTTACCCAGGAACTATTTCATTTAAATTCTATGTACTGTACATTTATATCGTATATGCGTGGTGTCTGATTTAATGCTGTTGTGTGTGTTTTTTCTTGGTACAAATACTAAATGTCATGATCTTAGAAGGACCACCAGCATTGATCTCTGTGATGGTAAACCATCGTATAACAGTTCTGTTCTGAATCGTGACAAGCACCTCAGCTACAAGACCCACCACGACAATTGTGGCACCAGATAAAAGCGGGGAACATCTGCTGGATCCCCCCAAACATCAAACCTGTGAACACGATCACACACATGCGCAGTGACTACAGGAAAATTATTTCCACCAGTCCACAGATCTGACTCAGTGTCTGCAAATGCCTTGCTTGTGCATTCATTATATGTTGGGCTGAGTTTTGTTGATTCTGCTGCAGCAAAATTTCTCGTACGGATAAATTACCATCATACGTCATAATGTATCTTATATCAAAGGGAAGTCTAGAGACAAAATGTCTCAATGCATTGCTGAATAATGTTTCCTTCAACATTTGGAAGAAAAATACCCACATCACTGATATTTTATGCCAAGTTTTCCCCTTTTTCGGCTGATAATTGGTGACTAAGTGCGATCTGCCAATGCATGAATCAGGCCTAATAAGTTAATGAATCAAAGGAACACTTTGGAAAACGCAAGGTACAGGGCAGTGTGACATTGTAAAATATTTTTAGTCCTCGAGTTTTTTTAATAGAAATCCTAGATGCGAAATGACATTTAAATGGGAAGAAATGTAACATATATATAAAAGGGAAATTTGTGAATGTGTGTCTGTTCGAAATGTTTACCATACTTCCCAACATGCAACAAACTTGAAATTTGGCATGTGGGTATCTTCCAGACTGTACACAATGCAAAACGTATAAAAATAGACTTTTGTATTTTGTGGGGGGGGGGTGCAATAATGGATATATTTTGCACGGCAAGTGAGCATAGGCCGTGTATTAATCTAAGACAAAAATCCAAGTCTCGGGCGAAGCCGGGTAGTAAAGCTAGTAAAGTCATAAATTGACATGAAATTTAAATAACAAGTAAAATTATTTACGGGAATGCAAGAAAATCATAATGCCATCACCACAGCGTGTTAACAACCCATTATTTAGTTTTCGTGTAAAGAAATGGAAAAAATATTCATAGCATTTAAGGCTTCCCTGACATGCCTGTACTATATTAACAATGGGCACAGGAGTGCTCACAAACTACCATTTATCATGTGTTTGTGTCAAATATTTCTGCAGATACCTAAAGTAGCAACTACATTGATGGTGGTAACATTTATTTATTGATGCTGGAAAAATGATACTATTGTTTTGCAGGCAGTTGCCAAAAGTCTGACCCATCATGCACCTCTGCGTGTTGAGGCCCTTGGCTGTGGACATAGTATGGTAAGAGATGATTGCTGCCATTTCATAACCAGTGTGTTCTCCTATGACCCGTGTTTTAGATATAACGCGAATTAGATATAACGCGAATTAGATATAACGCGATGAATTTATGAGGGAACACATTTTTTTATAACTCGCATGTGAATTAGATATAACGCGATTTTAACAGAACTATGTCGCGCGAGTAGGAATAAGCGGTTGTAGCATCATCACACAAGGCGGGATGCTGCTGGATGCTTCTAGATGCTACCCACGCGCCCCAGTCTTTGTCCAGCCTGCATATGCATCTCACGTGTTATTGTGGACTGTGCTTTACCCTAATATATTATTTATTATCACGCGATTTTTCCAAAACGCGTTGTTCTTCAGGAACACAACAACTACCGCGTTGTAGGAGAACAGACTGTACTAACCGAGTGTGCACGGGTTTTCCTCTGTGAGGGAGGGAAATACCAAAGTGCGATGACTCGAGTACTACCAGTTAATGAATAAACCACAAGCACAGATACACACACACACACAGCACCATATTACTCACATACAAACTAGATTTGAAGCTTTCGTGACTGCAAGAATTACTCTTTGATTCTTTCGGTAAAGTCACGTAGAAATAAAATGAATAATAGAATACGATGTTTCTATTGCAACACAAGCAACCGTCATTAGGTGTGAACGAATGCAAGCTCGGAGAGAGACACATACAGAGAGAGACAAACACAGACACGAAGAGAGATGCATACACAGAGAGAGAGACACACAGAGAGAGATAAACACACAGAGACACACACGCTCTGTGTGTTTCTCTCTGTTTGTTTCTCTCTGTGTCTGTGTTTGTCTCTCTCTCTGTGTATGTGTCTCCGAGCTTGCATTCATTCACACCTGATGACGGTTGCTTGTGTTGAAATCGAAATGTTGTCTATTCTATTATTTATTTTATTTCTTCGTGACTTTACCGAAAGAACCAAAGAGTACTCGCATACATTTACAATCGACGAATATATTACTGATTGAATAAGCAATTCACTTGTGTTAAGTATTTTCTGTTTTAGTTATCAGTATTAAACCTTCTTGATTACTCTTTGATAAATCACATTAAAGCTATATAATGTTATATTATTGATGTCTCTTGAAACACCTTTCCAGGCTTGATAGCACAGCAACCAGATGTGTTTAGCATTGAAACCAAATGCGTGCTTGTGATATGGACTAATGAAGGCTTACCACATCCGCTTTTGTTATGTCGAATTGCAATAACGTTGGTCACTTGGTAATTTATACAAGGATGTAGAATATATGATAACACTAACATTATCCAGCAATTTCACTGGGTTTCAGGACATTTTTAGGAGTGTCCTTGTTTTGAACGTTAGGCCATCTGCTAAATGAGCATTTTGGGCTACCCACAAATATAATTGCGTGACATAAAAACCCATTGTAGATAGATCAGAAACCTATTTTTATATTGCCACAGACTGGCTACCTTACAGCCATGCAGACGGGGAATCTCATAAATGTGCGTTATTGATTCCAGGGCTGTGCCACCGAATCTTACCACCTGTCATGGTTTTCCCAAGTTCCTCCTCTTTTTGAGGAAGCTGTCCTGGGAAATCTATAAGTCTTCACAGGACAATAAAAGTCCCGTTTTTTAGTAATTTGCATAACAATACACCACTAAAGACTTACTTGTAATTCCCCCCTCTTCCACTATTGTGAAATAATATTTTCAAATTATGTCCCGAATTTTTGTACCTCACAGTTGTGGGGTGATTAATAAGTTTCAGGTTAAGTGTATGGTCATGTGTTGAATAAAATGGCCATGGCTTTATGATTATGTCCTGCCTTTTACATTCTCTTTAAAGTGAAGTGCACTTGATGTTTCAGAGTCAAGTGCGGCAATTTCTGGACTCCCACTTGATTGACGTTCTAATTACAACACCTGGCACGCTCTGGAGAGTCCTGAAGCAAGGTGAGGTTGTGCTGACCCGGCCGTCAGACTCTAAGGAAGTGATTCTTTTCTTTCACCGATTGCACAACTGGAACACACCTCACGACAAGACACAATAAATGTGTTCTGTGCATCTTGCTGTCTCTCGGTTGTGATGAATTCACATTTTCAGGTGTTTTAGATTAAAGTGCAATTGATGTTCTGGCCACTTCCGTAACATAAATTGCAACCTGCAATGTATTACAGTTTAATCAGATTTTTATAGAATACTTAACTAAAGCAGTTTAAACTCACCGGTACTATATTTTGGTTTTATTTATTGTTATAATGCAGCGTGTTTGGGTTTTTACTGGCGTGTCAGTGTTTTATTCGTGTAAGATTTTTGTTTGTTTTTACCTCTGATGTACAGCACATGGAGATTAGTAATTTTAAATGCGCTTTATAAAAATTTGTTTATTATTTCTATTATATTTATTTAACAGATCTTTACTCGATGTCTGTTAACCAACTGGAATGGTATTGAATAAAGTGAAGGTCATGAAACCAGAATACAATTGATAAAAAACGCATGTCAAATAATTTTTTTGGAATTAATCACTTACAACTACGCTATATCCATACGATCTTTATTACCAGGGTGTCATTAAAACACGTTTCACTTTTATGCTCCTTCATTATGAAGAGACATATCATTAATTTGAAACTGAATTGGTTATTGAGGCGTAGCTCATCTGAGTCCACGATGTAAGATTTACAATAAAAAAAACACATCAACAACGCGCAGTTCCAGTGATATGCAACGGCGGCAATGAAATAAGATTTTGAAAGGGAGACTTGCGCGATTAATTCTTTGAGCCAGCCCCTGTGTGGATGCCTGAGAAGCAGTGGCTACAGCAGCGTAATAAAAGCGTATGGCCTCATCTTTTACTTTTTTAGCATGGTCCATGGTGTAACTCATTGTCCAGTTTGGCAAAAGGGGAACTTCAGCCCACCTCAGTTATGATGTGACAATGGGTATATATATATTTCTAATTTAAAATGTGCACCATTATGGACAGATTTGGAATTTTGGTGATGAAACTGGCCACACAATGTCCTGTTCCTGCACATCGCAGAACATTGTGAGTTTTGCAAACGCAAAGCAAATGCCCTCTGGAGGGGCTCTCTAGTGCTCTCCCTAGTGTTGGCATGTATTCGTATTTTTTGTCAAACATTACTGGGGGATTCCGAAAGCAATAAAACACCCTTTGTGCAGCTCAGTCTCTTGTGTGTCACTGGTGCTCATGAGGCATTCCAGCTGCATTCTGTTGAACCTTATGACCTGAGGGGCATCTGTATTGCAACCGTTTTTAATTTGTTTTGCACTTTAGGAGCGATTATATTTTATAACCGTGTTAGGTCTAATATGGGGAATTTTATTTGGAGAATGTTCCGTGCCTCTCATTATATACTTACATATATATTTGATATAACATGGACCAAGCAAAGTTTTGAAAAAAACATGTATCGCCTCACAGAATGGTCACAATTTTTAATAAAAGGCAAGTGTGAAAGTTGCCTTAAATCACTCCTTTAAAAAAATTTGTTCCTTCTATTTGATCAATACCAGATTTTTAGGCCTCAAAACAATCCCCATTCTGCTCTTCGTTGGTGAACTGCCTTTAACTTTTGAATCATTTCAGACCTGTTGGATTTCTCTGCCTTGAGACACTTTGTGTTGGACGAAGTGGACACCCTGTTGGACGACAGCTTTAACTCGGAGCTGCAGAGTATCTTCACACATATCAACGTGAGCAGCGGCGTTGTTTGCCTTCAATATGTCACGCTGTTAGTAGTGCAGTCGTGCACTTACCTTTTAAAATGTGCCGCTTTCCGTTTCAAGGGTAAAGGTGCAACTCTCCATTTATTGCTCATGCCACTGCCGAAATAAGGGCTTCCACCAGAAAGCGCTTGTAGAGGGTATTTTAGATTTCTCTTCCATGCTGGCCAGATATCTTAGAAAAAGTGGGAGTACCCACACTTTGCCCCACCACCCACGACCTGCCGATTGACTCACTTCGGTGTGCCCATTTGTCCTGCTGGGCGGACGGAGGCGTTTCGATTTAAGATACTGTCACCGTTGCTTTCACTTGCCGTGCTGGGAGATTGAATCGAACAGGCGATGATCTCTGGATGCTAACCATTATACCATGGCAGGATTCTGAAACAAAAGTATAAACTTTTTAAGTACACCAAATTGTTACCAAAGACGTGAAATCATTCAACCCTAATTTAATTGTAATTCCAGTTCAGCCCTCTATGCTGGCGAATTGCCCGATGATGCTGGATGCAATTACCAGCGAAACGTCGTACTCAAATTGTAAATTGTTGTGGTTTCACGCTTCAACACACCGGTGGGCTAAAGCAGTGAACTAATTGTCTTTTGTCAACGTGACACTTTTTTACTGATTGGCCGTGTCGGGTGGTGGAGGGTTACGACACATTTATAAATAACGCGATCTAAACCCAAAAACGTTGATTATGATCCTCGGGTATTAACTATACATCGTAACATCATAAAAGTGCCTTTATTCTGGATTTGTGAGCATTAGGCACCAATTATGAACTGTAAAATAACAAAATATCTTCGCCTGCATCATTGCACTTCAGAATTTGAAAACGAAACCGCAAAGATCTTATGAATGTGAGCCTGACTTTGTAAGCTCCAGGCAACAACATTGAAATTTACGACTCCTAATGTGTCTTGTGCTATTTTGCTTCATATCGGTTGTATGTTTGACGCAGTAAAGGTTCTACATGCTCTTAACTTTCACTCCTCACGGATTCACTGTGTGCATACTTAGAGGATAGCATTGCTAAGTATTGAGACACCACTCCATAATTTCATTACATAATTTTGTGTATTTAATGGAAATTGCACATGAATAATATATCCTAGTTAAACCACCAATATCTATGCAATTACCAGTTTTATTGATTCTACCGTTTACATAAATCCTTGTCAGTTTACGCACGAGTACAATGGCCACCCTATAGATCTCTTTCATATTTCTGTACCCTGATTATAACTATAATATGCTCAGTCTAAAACTAATCTTGCCAAGCTGATGTCTGCTACAGAGAATATGTTGTTTATTTTCGTGCAATATATTTTTGTATTTGTCATGTGACACAGTAGTTTATGCTCGGATTTATATTTGCTTCATTGCTGGACTTTGTTTTGCTTTTGTGTTGTTGGTGAACTATGTCACTCTTGCGAATGAGACCCTTATCCGGGTTTGTGGAGTTATCACCTCGTTAAAAAAACACAATTGACACTTTAAACTTTGCTTAGAAGCTTTACACCCTCATAATCGACTCAGTAAATGCAAGGTCATCGTTTAATTGGTCAAATCAGAGTGTCTGCAACCAAGCAACTCGGTGGCGCTCACCACCGGGGTGGTCCTGAGATAACCGTGGACATTCCTCGTTACGATATCTGTCCATTGGACAACCACGCTTGATTTAATGGCAATTATTTCTCAGGTGCGGCAGAAACCCGATGCATCTGCAGGCCTACACCCGTGGGACGGGACGCAGCTCATTTTGATTGGAGCAACATTTCCACGCGGCGTTGACGAGCTGCTGGGACAAGTTATGGATGTAAGCAACGCAGTACGAACGCCGAGGTGAAGGTAAAGGTGTGATTGCTTGCTCACGCCACCGCTGGTGGAAGAGCCTCCATTGGACGGAGCTTTAGAGAGCCCCTCGAGAGGGTGTTTGGCCTACGCTTCCATCCTGGCCAGACGCGACCTGCTGATCGACTAACTGCGGTGTTCCCATTTATACTGCTGGGTCGTCAGAGGTTGGTTGATTGAACCGGCGGCCTCTGTATTGCAAGTCAAGTGTATTTACCATTGCACCATCCTACACTGATCAGTCATGTAATGTTTATATATGTTAGAACATATACACATGCTTTCAAATTTCCTGAACTGGGAGCCTCAGAACCAGTTCAGATATTCGCCACTGATGTTCACTATGGCCGTGAACCAAACTCGGATCGTCAGGTTCGTAGCGCAGTGCACTGTCTACTGCACCACTGCTCACAATATGTATTACATAGGTGCACAACCACCTATTTCACAGACATCTTTCATTGCTTTGTGTGGATTTAATTCCTGTGAATAGACCAAACGGTGACTTGAGTATGCTTTGGATGCCAATTGTGTTTTGCTTATTGTGAGCACTCGCACAAAGTGTTGTTCATACGTATTACACAGTGCAGGATGAGTGGTGTGCTAACCAAAAATAATTGCACGCTTTCCAGACCTCCAGCTTCAGAGTGGTGCGCAGCAATTTCCTGCACTGTGTGCCTCCTCATGTGGAACAGACGTTCATGAGGGTAAATAACGATGACAAATTAGGTAAGGAACCATTTTATGACTTTGGTTTTGCCTGATTATAAAATATATATGCATGTTTAAAATGTGGACAATGTTAGTCGAAAATTGCATTTTATATTGACCTGTCACTTTTTGCAAGACATTATTATTTTTGGGATTTGGATGGGCAGGGAGAGAGCAGGCTTGGTTGGGATGGGGAGCATACTGTAGTTGGTCACACCGTTGAACAGAGCAGGTGACGGAACATGCCCATGACAAAATTCACTCCTGCTTCTCGCCTCAAGCACCTCTTGATGTTTTTTTTACCAAGCATTGTTCAATACTTTGACTTTGCAATTGCTTAAAAATGGTAGAAAAGTGCAACAAGCACATTACCACCGTCTTCACGTGTTATCCTTGACGTAGCTGACTGCAGATACAAAGTGTAAACAATATTCACTTGAGGCATACTTTTGTGATTTATTCATCGATTCCAGGAGCTGGGTGCTCATTTGTTTCTGTTATTCCCAACATCATGGGCATGCCGTTGTGATGGACTTTAGTATGATAATAAGCTCAACACTGAATAATAGGAGGTTCTGCTGTACCTAATGCTGTGTACGCACCCGGGTTGTTGATGAACATTACGTGAGAATGTGTTTCTTTTGCAGCCACTCTGATAGATCTGTTAAAGAAGAGAGACGGACACTCGCAGTCTGGTGTCATCGTCTTCTGTAACAAAGCGACCACGGTCAATTGGATCGGATACATGCTCGATGCAAATCACGTTAAGCACGTCCGCCTGCAGGGAACAATGCCTTTTGAGGTAGGCACTCATTGATGGAATAATTAGCACAGTGTTTGTTGTCCTTCCCCAAGCCCATTGTTCTTGCATATGCATAATGCATGTTGATTACCATATCGATAACCCAAACTGCAATGGATGCCCATAGTCATTTATATGCGTTCATGAATCCCCCCCCTAAACTTCACACAAGAAGTGCTCACAAGCGATGTCATCACATCTAGCCCTCTATTTAAGGAACGAAACAGGAGGATTTCTCCAAAAATCTGGCTGTCGCCTGATGAAGCTAGTTGTAATTACTGGAAAAACGTCGTACTCAAGATTGTAAATGTTGTGGCTTTGCTCTTCAACACACCGGTGTGCTGTATTAGTGACGAATTGCCACGTTCTGTTTACGTGACAAACTTGACTAGTTGGCTGTGTCGGGTGGTGGCGGGTTTAACGACACATTTATATATTTATGCGATCTAGCCCAAAAAAAACCTGTGTAATGGATATTGGTCACGAAAGCCGACGTGTTAAATGGTATACATTATCGCTTAACCACAGTTTGGTTTTCCGCTACCCGTGATTTCAAATCTCCAGCCGTGTTCAAACAATCCACCACCAGTGGCACATCAAGAGCGTGTCCCCACCACGCTTGCCCGCGTACAGTACCTGCCCGCATTGTTCAATGGTGTGCAGCAGTCATCAAAGCGTAGCAGTGCTGTAATTTATACCTCGTGAAAGTGTACTATAATTACAGTACAATACTACAATTTTTTTCCCTTAATAATGGTCCCTAAGCGTTGGGCTGGTGATGAAGGTGAGCAAAATGTGAAGAGGGCAAGGAAAGTGGTTTGTCTTGAAAGAAAAAAGTTGAGTTGCTCGATCGTCTTGCGCGGGCACATCCCGCTGGTAAACAAACGTGGCATAGAATAGGAAGCCAACACACAACAGCCGGGATGACCCAGGACCAAATGGAGGGGGGGGGGGACTGCCTGGAGAAGAACTTGCACAGGGCAGGACAGTCCATCGATGTAGAGGCGTTAATTGGTACTCCCCACCCTGTTGGCTGGCAGCTCCCCCTTCTCGTCAACAGGGGGCGGAAGCGGGGTCACGCCACTGTCAGTGACCGTGGCCCAAGGGGCCAACGACAATCCCTGGGAAGCGGATCCTGGGACACATTCCCGGACCCCGGGATGGGGGACTGGGGGATGATGTCACCTTCCAGAAAGTTCTGGAAGGGAGGTATGGCTAGGGCAGAGCAAGCCACGAACCAGTATATAAGCCGGACCTCTCAAGGGTCTGGGGCAGTCACTGCGGCGTCGGTAGCCGGAGACGGCATAAACTATCATCTGACCTGACTCCACATGTGTTTTACAAAGTTGATTTTTATTAAATGACGTATCAAGTTTGATGGATGTATGTAATGCTTGTTTTGCAGATGCGGGTTGATATTCTGAAGAGGTTTCGCGAGAAGGATGCTGCTGTTTTGGTTTGCACGGACATCGGATCGCGGGGCCTGGACACAGTGAGAGTAAGAGGATTATTTTTTACCACGGTTACTAAATACAGGTCCAAAGGTCTACAAATGGCCAGCACCTTCTTTAAATTATATCGCGCCCTACATAGCCGATTTCCCGCACCTCCGATTAGCACGGTTGGCTACGTACGGTACGAAATAAGTTCAACATACATAACACTATGTAACACAATTTTTTTTCCTGGGTAGTAAGTGTTCTTTCGTATAGCTTATGCCTAAAAAGTATAGAAAATGGCTATTATTCCCCACAAACTTTGCTTTTGTGACCAGGACAGTGATATTTTGAAATGTACCTATTTTCAATGATAAAACAGACGAATTTGTGTCTTTTCGTTCACATCAAGTCAGAAAAAAAAACATATAATTCAAAATGTACATGTATTTATACTAAAGTAATACAAAAATTACTACAAAAGATTTTGAAGCGAGTAGTTTTTCGAGATTTACGATTATACTGTAAATCACTTTCACGAATCAGCCCCCAAATGTAGTCTCCAATCATGTTCTCGTTATACTGTCCTTGGTAGCGACGTTCAAAGTCCAGTATATCCTGGTGGAAGCGCTCGCCTTGCTCCTCCGAGTACGCTCCCATGTTCTCCTAGAATTTATCCAAATGAGCATCAAGGATATGGACTTTGAGGGATATCCTACAGCCCATTGTGCCGTAGTTCTTCAGAGTTTCAACCAACTCTACATAGTTTGACCTTGTGATTCCCCAGGAAGCCACGAACCACTGCGACAAAGCTGTTCCAAGCTGATTTCTCCTTCCACTGAGCTTCTTGAATAATTAATTGCATTCCAGGATCTTCTCTATCTGTGGTCCGACTAAGTCACCGGTTTTGACCTTTGCCTCAGACAGCTTAGGGAAGATGTCTTGAAGGTACTTGAAGGCTGCCTACTCCTTATCTCCAGCTCTGCCAAATTATTTCACAAGGCCCAATTTGATGTGCAGTGGTGGCATCAGCACCTTCCGGGGGTCCACCGGTGCCTCCAAGAATACACAGTGTATAATCGGAGGTGTGGGAGAAAGACAACAAACTAAATGGTGTTATCAGAACATAACACTGCATTGGGTGGGACAGATGCTGAAATTATAGTAGATAGAATTGTTAATAGCTTGTTTTTCCACCTCCTTATTCAGGTGGAAACGGTAATAAATTACGATTTCCCGACATGCCTATCGGATTACCTGCACCGCGTGGGCCGCGTAGGCCGGGTGGGGAGCCTGGTGAGGGGCTCCGTCGTCAACATCGTCACTCACCCCTGGGATGTGGAGTTGGTGCAGAAGATTGAGGTACGGCTCTTGCCTTCTATTGAGTTTGTCACCTCGGGATGAAACGTGAGGTTTTTTAAATTTATATTTGTCCCCCGCGGCCAGCCCAGCCCAGGACACGCTGGTGGGACTATGTCATTTGGCTGGCCTGGGAACGTTTGGCAATCCCCCAGGAAGAGCTAGCGTCTGTCGCCAGGGAAGGGGAGGTCTGGACCACCCTACTCAACATGCTGCCGCCACGACCCTCGCCAGGAGAAGCGGATTGAGAAACGAACATTTGTGAACTTTTTCAGTGCAAATGTTAAATATTTAAACGGATAGTAAATGATAAAGGTGTAACCCTACAATGGCTTTCTCCAGCCATTACTGTCAAAATGCCTTTCACTATAGCAAGGTCTTCAGTTCCTCTAGACGATATTTGACCTCTTCCATGCTGATCTGACATCTTTGAAGAGGTGGGAGTAGCCACACCTTATCCGATCACACCTGACCTGCCAATAGACGCACTGGTGTACCCAGTTATACCGCTGGGTAAACAGAGACAGGGTGTTCTACGGTTCTTTCGGTAAAGTCACGTAGAAAAAAAAAATAACGACCGCTTGTGTTGCGATCGAAACGTGATGTTTTTAGTTATTTTTATTCACTTTATTTTTATTATTTATTATTTTTTCTATCTACGTGACTTTACTGAAAGAACCATAGAATATGAATTCCTGCAGTCATGAACGTTTTAAGTCAGAGACAGGGTGATTTAAGAAACTTCTGTTTCAACTCTGTGCTAGGAAAGAGAACTGGCGACCGCTGCATTGATTGCAATTCCACCGTGCTAATTATTCCATTAAGGCAGCAAAACCGATCAAAAATCTACTTAAAGTAATTCACAGGAAAGTTAACACTAAAAAACATTGTATTCATGACTTTCGCATTCTCTAAATCTGTCATTTTCCGACATGCATTTTCAAATTAATAATAAACGTATATTTTTGTACTTTCAGCTTTCGTCATATTTAAACCTCACTCAATAGCCTTAAGATAAATGTGCTTTTTTATGTTTAGTTTTAGTATAATTCTTGTTGCCAGAATTACCTGTTGTTTTACGGTGATGCTATGAAGTTTTAATGGGTGATGAGCAACTCGCTAAAACTAATAATATTTTCAGTTATCAGGATGTTTTGTTTCTCTGCAGAAAGCATTTTGTCAAGACACGACTTCTAAAATATTCCCCGCTTTGAAGACTGTAACGCTGTCGGCAACTTTGTGATATCGTTTGTCTCGCAGATTGCGGTGCGACGTCACATGCCACTGCCGGGTATCAACGCGAATATCAAACGCAAGCTCAAGAGCCGACATGACATTCACGAGGAAGCACAAAAGGAGAAGGGGGGGGAGGAGGAGGAGGAGGAAGAATCTTCCGAATTTATGCATTAACAAGTCAGGCAAAAATGTCAGTTTACCTTCCCCAATGAATTCACTTGTTGGTCTTCCTTGCGTAATATAATTATCCGCTCACAGCTGTTGAAACGTTTGGTTTGTATCGCCTATTACCATCAAGGCACTTTTTATCTAGATTGAAAACTCATTTCTTGAGAACTGCTTTTTTGTTTGGTTGTCCTTCAGCCGCACCTCCGATTTAGCACAGTTGACTACGTACGGTGCTGAAAAAGTTCATCGTACATACAAAGCCACCTTAGAATCTGCAAACGGTACAAAGACATTGCAAATATCAGAGCATTTATAGCTCGGGCTGAGCAGCTATATTGGCCTTCTCTGATCTGACATTGGTGTGACTAGGCCATTAAGAAGGCTGTCTCTGGTGTAGGCCAATCAGTTTCAAAGACGATAGAAATATTATCACCTGAGGACGTCTGCTTGCGTTGTGGCCGAAACGTCGTGAGAATTATTTTATAAAGTTTTATTTTTATTATTTTATTATTTCCATTCTACGTGACTTTACCGAAAAAACCAAGAAGATGAATCCCTGCAGTCACGAAAGCTTTAAATCGAAACAGAACATGTTTGTTTGTATGTATGTTCACCACAAGTACGTGTGGTTGATTCCTTGGCGTTTGGACATATCTGCAAACAGCACCACACGTCGAGCACCAGCGCCAGCGCCGTCGGGCACTCATTCAATTAATCTTTTGAGTAAAAACTCGCCCCCCGCTAAAGAGAGCATCGTAATACTTTACAGTATAAATTAAACGAAGGTAGTCTTACCTATAAAATCAAGACACATAAAAAATATCAAAATGAGAGGACATACTCAAGGAAAAGCTAAAAGGAAAAAATGAGTCTTGCAGAGTTTCCTCAATTGTTTGGGACTCAGAGCCAATCTGAGGGCCGGCGGAAGACGGTTCCAGATCTTGGGCACCACACTCGAGAAGGCCCCCTACTACGGCCCAGCGTAGAATGAAACATTGATCTGGTCCCAACAATTTATAAAGCAACGCAGTCCTCTATATACTTCAATGTTTTCAACCAATGAATGACCGTTTACATGTATGCATGTTGAACTTCTTTCACACTGTATGTCGCCGACCATTCTAATCAGAGGTGCGGGGGAAGGACAACAAACTAAACGCAAAAAAGCAGTTCTAAATAAATGAGTTTTCTATATGTATAAGTGTATAGCTTCAGTGGCTTCCGAATGTCAAGAAGAGCATTCCAGATGGCCGCAGAAGCACATCTGAAAACATGTGATGCAGTGACTGGTTTTGATGGCGAGCTAAAAGCCGCTGCGAGGATGTTCGCGCGATGGTTTATGCTCCTTGACGAGATCAGAAAGGTTTTGTGGTTCTTGTGTTGTTTGAGCACACAATTTGTCAAGTTTTGTCGATGTAAAAAAATCAAGAGTTTATCAAGAAAATGTCACGTGTGTCATAGTTTAACGTGGTAACTTTGATATTTATTGCATTGCATATTAACATTGTCAATGGTTATACCGCGGTACCCAATTCTGATTTGGAAATTCAGGCACTTGATTTCCGAATTTGTTCCTTCGGGTGTTGCGTAACAATTTTTAAACTCTCAGTAAAGTAAGAAAATATTTGTCGGTGGCAGTGTGAAAGTGAGAGATCTCAAATGTGCTCCTCTCTTGCCAGTTGTGTGAAACTTGTGGGCCCTGATGCGAGCCAAATTGGGAAATATTTGTGACACCGAATGTTACTGGTTCAGTGCATTCTTTCCGTGTGAAGAGTAGACCCAAATATTCTCAAAAAGGGGCTGTCTGTACCTCCCTCTCGTCGCAAGCTCCTTTGGCCTCCTTTGGCCAGCAGGTGCATGAGCAAGCAATTGTTGGGCTGCAACTTAGTATCTATTATCGAAGAGTATACGCTTGTGTGTATATAAATGTACCTTTACACATTTCCACACAATCTAATTTCATAACATAAATGTTATTGCACTAAAACATTAAGGCAGATGCATAATGAAGGCTAAAGTGATCCCAGAAGCAAACGTTTGTATAGGAATGTTTTCAGACTCTGCATTAATTAATGTTAATATAATGTACAGGATTATTTTGTTTGCGATTTAAGAGGATGTACATATTATATCTGGTGATAAAGTGTTCTTTTAATAAAAACATATTTCAAATGTGTTTAAAAATCCGGTTTTCTGGTACATAAGCGTTAATTAAACGACAAGTTTCGTAAGTAAAAATATAACCGCATGCCTTGTTTTTTCATGAATACCGTGATCTTATTGTTCCCACCTTGTCACCAGAAAGTAGACAGTGCATGGACTGTGTCGTCACAACGTCGTGTTACACTTGTTTCATGTTCATATTAAATGTTCTGTATTGAGTGAATGTCTTACATGTCGTGCACATGTATGTACACAGCAAGGGGCACAGAGCCAGACGAAGACACTTAAGGTGATTCAGAATTATTGGTGATTACACATCCTCCAAATGCTATTTGCATTTGGAGGATGTATGGGGCCTTCCATAAATGACGTCACGCGATTTTGGACGATTTTTAACCCCCCCCCCCCAATCACACAACGTCACAAAGTCAGACCCCCCCTCAAATATGACGTCACAAAGTCAGACCCCCCCTCAAATATGACGTCACAAAGCTCTGCCCCCCCCCCAAAATAAAACATGCTTCAAATCGCTTTAAACTATTGTCATTGTAGTGCGTATTAAATGTGGTGCTGCACTGATGTAGGAGAAAACATTTATTGAAATGTCTATTTAATTGTGTTGTCTATATTTATTTAAAGTTGCGCATTTTGATGTGACGTCACGTTTCTCAAACCACCCCCCCCCCCCCACATCGTCGCACATGTTTGATCCCCCCCCCTCTCTAGGTGCGTGACGTCATTTATGGACGGCCCCTGTACAAAATTGAGAACTGGAAAATGCATTCATGAATGACGACCACTTCGCAGTCACCGCATCATTGGTGAGCGCCGAGCCACACGGAGCGGCGTGCCGGTGCGTCAAGAGAAGGAGTCAAGAGGAGTGTGGCATAAGAGACGCATGGTGTGAGCGGACATTGTGACAAGCGCTGCCCTGATAACGGCGATGAATCGATCCCAGGGCACCACCATCGCAAACCGGAAGGCCCCCCCCCCCCCGTGCTCTTGAGTACAGACACCACGATAGCTTTATCCCAATGGAGATTCTCTGTGATGTCAACCACTATAGCGTGAATGAGGATGTCATCTGCTCCAAAATCTCGGATAACAGCCAGGAGCGGTGGCCGTTTCCATGGAAGTGCTCACTTGGCTCTCCCATCTTTTCGGTTGGTATAGCACATGCTGTTCAGAACGATGGCCAATGTTTAGCTCCACATGCTGGCAGCGTCTTCAGCAACTGAATTCAGTTCTTGAGGTATTCAGTTGCTGAATTCAGTCCCGACTTCAGAATTTACCGAATTCAGTTACCAAAGCTGCTGGCAGCCAGTGAAGAAACGTTGGACATGCTGAACAACAGAGTTCAACCCAGAAACCTTTCGGACGGCGATGTTGTCGTCGGCTGGTTCTTCGCTTGTGAAGATCAGGGAGAAATGAGGTTCATGGAGTTGGCAGGTGCGCTGGTGGCTGTAACATGCCATTCCTTGACTTTGTGGCAGATGGTGCATTTGAACTCCTGACCAGTGGGGACCAGTGGGGGACGTGTTCGTCTTTCTGCACCTCCGTTTTTCAAGACGGCCAAAGTGTGAAGCAGTCGCAAAAACCAACCCGGTATACCCGCAGCTTTGTGGACGGACTGGGTGACCGAACAGAGACAGGGTATTTGTGGTACAGTATCTAAGGTCTCCTGTACTAGGAACCCCAGCAGCGTTGACTCTTCCTTGGCCTGGAGACAAAGGCACTTGCAGAGGTCTCCACCACCTCAACTCCAGCGAGAGCCCCCCAAACATCCATAAGAGAAGGAAGCGCCACACCAAGTTCGTTCTGGACATAGACTCGGTGCAGAAAAAACGGTTCAGAATCGGAGGGCCCCTGGAGGAAAACAAAAACTCTAGACGCTCGCACCGAAGGCTCTTCCGTCGGCTCCCGTGACTCATATTACATCGCAATCGTCGTTAATCCATCGTCAGTATCCCATTGCTCTTCACTTACCTACTCCACCACCGCACATTTAGTTCAGTAAAATTAAATGTGCAGTCTTACCTTGATCAAGCACATAATTTGCATCCCAGCTGACATACATGGGAGTATTTGTTAATCATTTATGCAATTACACATTTTCAACTTAATTTTTTAAAACTATTGAGCTGCCATAGCCGAAGTGAATCAGGCGATGTTTGCCGTGAGGGTGGGGGTCAAGGGGTCACTGAGCTCACTCAGTGACCTTCAACAGCTGCCTACAAAATTACAATAAGTCTCCACTCAGCATTGCCAGTTTTTGTTGGGGATCTTTCAGCATTTGGGCGTTGCTGCTGATCAGTTAATAAGATCCCGATGATGAATGAACATATAGGAAACCTGATAATTGCATATTTATGAAACCCAGGTTTGGCTAAGAGAGCTTAAACCACGCCCATCAGTCTGAGGGCCAGAGCGGCCAGAGCAGCCAGAGCAGCAATCAGAACCACCCAAGATAGTAAAGCTGTATTAGCACCAATCTCGTTATATGGCTAATAAGAGTGATTTAACCCACTCAATTTCAAATGGATATTACACAATTCAGTTATTGGAAAAATAAATTTAAATTGCTACATTTATACCACCTCAGGTGGTACAAAAAAGGTGAAATCTATTAGGGGCTCACAGACTTCTTGAGTGATAGTAACCCTGATCGTATAAATTCAAAAGGCTTCCACTTGAGAAAACATTTTTCACGTGTAGTTTGATATTAATGGCTTTATAAACATCCCTTAATTTAAAGTTTGGACTTTAACCACAACTTCTAATTTAATCAACAGATGTTGAAACTGCGAGTGGAAGTGAGCATGCAAGGGAATGGCTCTAAGATGACACCATAACTTGGCAATTCAATGACACTCAATTATGTCGCAGCGTACGCTGCACATCAGTTCGGTCGATGCCATTTACAGATTTTAATTCTCGAAGCTGGCAAATGCTGCAACAGTGATTCGTCTTTGCACAACCATTGCTGATAGGGCAAAGACCATCAACTTCACCAGAGTACTGGCTGCCTACCAAACATACCAACACAGGATTCCAGTAGTGTTGGACCACTGCTTTGACACTGGGCCACCTTTGTTAAAATATTTAGCAATTATTTTGGTCGCATTTGAAGAAGCTTAGCTGCTATGGCTCATTTGATACATAAACAGCTCGAGTATATCATTGGCCAAAGACACCAGTTCTGGGTACCAATCATGTGCAAATATCATTACAAATGCAAGGTGTGGAATAAGTAACTTGCCCTATGATTCAATAATAAACATTGTGATAACATGTTGTACTGCTCTTCGGGTATTATTAGTCATAAATTATCACCAACTCTGTACCATCTTTAGATGTGCAGAAAACTTGATATGAAGATTGGACTTAAGTGCAACATAAATGCCAAAAGCTTCTATAGACAATATTGCGATATTGCAATGATTTTCTAAATACGGCTTTAATGCATTATATTGCAGCTTAAAGGCATGGTAAACCGCACATGTTTTAAAGAATTCATGTTATTGTCTCCCTTATGTAATAACAGAAACTGGTCGATCAGTTGGACTTTTTATTCAACAATTTACTAAAACCAAATACAGCCATATCCTGCATGTTGAGACCTCACAATTTTTCAAATGTGGTAAGTAGCACTGATTTGGAATGTAAACTATATGTAGGTAATGGCCAAAATGGTGACTTAAGGTTATAAAGAGATATTGTTATTATTAAGCAACTGCTCACCATCATTCAAACCACACAGGCATTGCTGCTTTTGAGCTTAATACACTGGAGGTGTATAATACTCAGATTCGGCTAGTCTGTTGGCATTTATATGAATACACTTAGGCACCCATTGCCTTTGGTAAAGGACAGCATTATTACGTGCCACAGTATTTGCTACTGTTATTAGTTTGTCATTTAAATTTTCTTCAATTTTAGGTTCAAAAGTTTTCCATTTTTACTTGGAGGGGGTTCTTCCAGGTAAACAACCTTTTTAACTTAAAAGATTTTGTTCAGTGAAATAACTTTTGTTGACCACTTTCCAACAATACCAATGCATGAACAAAAGTCAAATGCTGTTGAATAACCAAAGCGTATTAATCCTCCGCTTCCATCTCCTCTGCGTCGTCGTCACCGTCCACTTCCGCATTCTCCTTTTCGAGCTTCTCAAGCTGCCGGGCGAGCTCCGTTTCATCAATGTCGGTCACCACCTTCGGCTGCTCGAACACAACGAAGAAAAATCGGCCACATGCAATCGACATCGTAGTCTACGGTGCGTGCAAATGACGAGACCTAGGGCAGCTCTTTTAATCACACCTGTACAATACTCCAGAATGTGAAATATATTACAATTAGCTGACCATGTGAAAATATTACAACTGTTCTATACCACCCACATCTTTATCAACCGAGCTCACAATGCACAACAGCTGCCGTTTGCAACTAAGTGGCAGTCACCACAGCGTTTGGGCCAGGCCAGGTGCACTCCGAGGCGACTTGAAGTGTCACAATGTACATCCCAGAATGCCACCCACACAAACAAAAACACCCCCATTGTCATTCGTGCCAAATATTTGAAAAACATGCTCATTTGTCGAATTTTCATTAAAAAAATGTTCATTAGATTGTTACTTATAGTAAGCTTGTTTACAAATTGAAACTCTCAATTTACCACGAACGTTGGGTAAAGGAAGACTCTGCCAAAATGTTCATCGATGCCGTATTTATACAAATGAAGTCACAATAGCAACGTAATTTACCGCCATCTGAACGTTGAAGACACCACGTTTCTCCTCGATCTTCTCCTTGATGGTTGCCATCGCCTGATTGAGAATGGAGAGGCCTTCTGTCCTCTCCAGAGTTGTGGTTGTCATCACGTAGCGTGGAGGTGCTATCAGGTTAATCTGGATCAAACATTCAGCAAAATGGTTTTCAATCGCACAATTTTCATGCATTTTTTAAAACGCTTTTGAAATATATCACACCAATTATTGTGATGGAGGGTTAAATCAAATTGTTTAAAACTGGTTATTATAAGTGTAACCATGGAATTACAATAAGCTATGTTTAATCAGCTTTGTGCATTAGGCAAGATGCGTGCGATGTGCTGGGACATTACACCAAGAAACAAAGGCACCTCCCTTGCAATGGTTATGAGACGTTTTTATGGCAATGGCTAGTGTCTATTTGTCTGCAGAGACGTGTCAAAAAAGATCAATGACGATATTTACCTCAAATGGGCCTTTAATAATTAAATGATGTCCATTTTGATAACAATTACTGCCAGGAAGAATTGCGAAAGGTATAGAAGAATGTTTACCTTGATCGGCATCTTCTCTGTGGAACATGCCAGGCCTCCCTTCAGTGCCTCTTTGACAGCATCAATCCCTTCATAGCCATAGCAGGCCACCTCAATATCTAACGGACAACAAAACATTTCCGTTATATGAAGTGCTACAGTGGCATCTCATTTTCTTCACCAAAAACAGAGGCTATCTTTCGCAATAACTGGTGTTTGATGGGCGACTTTATTTTGAATAGAACGGGTCTATTAATATCACGTCACCTGCACGGATTTTGACGGCCTGTGGCGTCAGCCGCCTGTGGATGTTCTCCAGCAGCACTCCCTTCTCTTCCTCCGTCAAATCCAGCAAGTCGAGCACACTGGGGTCTCTGCACACTCCCACACCCAAACGCACCGTTAAAAACACAAAGACTACCATCATTTGCGAAACTAGTCACAGGTTTGAATGTTTAGTCACATTCGGGTTACTGCTGAAGGGACTAATTGAGTTTTGGTCAATGTCTATATGGAAAGCGGGTTAAGCCGTTCAAAAAGAAAATGTGAAAGGAAAAACAATGGATATTGTTTTTTGCTTTAAATACCTTATTGTTACTTGCCTTACACAACAAAGCGTATTCTCCATTTTTAAAAGGTAATGGCCAATGTACCAAGACAGATACATTCTAGCGTCACTCATTCACACGCAGGCTTACAAATGATTTTGCATCACTGGAAACTTACGAAACGGCGAGCTTGAAGGCATCGTAAGCACCGTATCCAGGCTTGTTGTATTTTTCATCAAAGACCCAGGCTGTCCGCTGATACAGACTCTCCAGCTGCTCATCTTTGGAGTAATCCAGTACTTCAGCCACGTGTCTTAAAATGCTGTACACCTGAAAGTAAACCACGCAATAGCAATAACAAAATAAACATATACAACTAGAAATACGCTTAATGTCAAAGGCCCCTGAAATGAAAGCAAAACTACTGTTGTAACAAAACAATTTAACACTGGGCTTCCCACGCCATCTTCAGTCACACAACAAGCATGTCAGGGCCCAATGGCTGTTTTTTTCACGCTCAGTTTAGTGCATTGTGAGAATTTCAAATCGGGAGACGAGCAAAACATCCGCATGTGCAAACGCAGGTCAGTATAGGTCAGGGGTGGGCAAGCTGCGGCACTTTCAGGACTGCTTCGTGACGTTATTTCTTGAGGACGACCATCTCGTATTCGCCACATGCATTGGTGGCTCTTGAAACATTATTTTACCAAGTTAGAAAAAATGGCTATTTTCGTTATTTTGGTTGCCAACCCCTGGTATAGGTGCAGCTATGCTGCCGTGCACACCGTGAGCACAATTTTACCTTGAGCTTGTTTTTATTTGATGCATCAAAAGAATGATCAACTCTTCGAACTTGCTCCCCCCCTTTATTGCTCACGATTAAAAACATTGCAAGTGGCAGCATTAACTCCCTGGGTTTGGCGACTTTGTTTTGTGATGTTATTTAGCGCATTTCCAAAGGAGACACCTCAGTGCAGAGGTCTCATGCAAGTGTGAGATTGTAGAGACTGCCAAGCATGATCATGGTGAAACGGACCCAGAGCTTCATGAAAGTGGTGCAACAGGCCAGCCAACACCCACTGTTACGAAATTACACTGCTTGATTTATAATGAGATTTCCACCAGAAAGCTAGTGTCTGCTGTGAACACATTACCCAGCCATGGAAACTCCTACATTCTTTCCAACCAACCAACCATCAAATTGCTCAAGGACAGGGCAGAAATTGGGGTGTTTTATGACGATGATTACGAGAGCAAGGGCATTTTCTGTTGTTGGAATGATGGAAAAACCCAACCTATCCCCCACAGCAAGCCAAATATATGCCAGCAGGTTCGTTAACTGCTGACAATGAGCAGCAATGATCGTAACAATGTCACGTGTATACATAGGGAACCATCGCTTGACTGAAGTTGGGCATAGATCTGTGCTTTTACTACATATAAATTCCAGCAGTATAGCCAAAGAAGGCCTCTTGAACTATGTGAAAAACATAATTGAAATGAATTGTCCAAAAAAGAACCTGATGCACTGCCATAGCACGTAGCGAATAGACTCAATATTTGCTCATCATTATTACATCCATAACAATAATACTTTAACAGTGCACAGGTTCCTTTATTTATTATATATGTTCAGCACAACACTATTATGTAACCAACTAAAACTAAATGTTACCGTTTTTGATTTTGTAAACTTATCTTCACACTTCAAAGCCTCTTCAGGAGACACTCTTCTTTTGGACAAGTCGATGTATCCTTTGAAATAAAATCAATGTCAAAAGTTAATATCCAGAGCTTAGAGATCAAAGCGTATCAGAGACAGTGAAGGATGACGCTCTATTTTTGGTGCAAAACTTGAGTACATCATATCAATGCGTAAGAAAGACAGCAACAAATATTCACATACAGCAGATGTGCAGGTCAATCATGGCCAAACATCCCTTTGTGAAAACAGTTACTCCAAGTTTGACGTCAGAATCAGAATATGTATTTATACTGGGGGAATCCAATGAGCTATAAAGCTCTTTTTCACAGATGTCCAGTCAGGGCGGGTAAAAGTGTTACAACAACAAGCAATAGAAAAACATGATAGGAGTGCAAAGTATAGGAAAGGTAAACGAATCACCCAAACACATAAATAAAAAAAATAGGGAAATTTGTGATTATGTTTGTCTGTTCAAAATGTTTAGCATACTTCCCGACATGCAACAAACTTAACATTTGCCATGTGGGTACTTTCCACATTGCACACCATGCAAAACATATTAAAATACACTTTTGTCTTTTTGTTGGGGGGGGCGCAATAATGCATATATTTTGCACGGCAAGTGAGCTGTGACGTCACATCTATCATGTGACCCGTGTGCGGAAGCGTAACGGAGTGTGCCTGCTGATCACGGGTAAAGTGAAATACAAATGTGTTGTAGGTCTAAGGCGTTCTTCGCGCAGCATTGATTTATAATTTCAGTCGTTTACTGTCGTACGCACCCTGAAAGTTATGTGTGTCTGCAGCAAGCGCGTGTATGTGTACCTATGGACGCGCGCGCGCGCGTGTGTGTGTGGGGAGCGGTAGTGTAGCGGTTAGCGCGCTGCGCTATGAACCCGGCGACCCAAGTTCGATTCCCGCTCATGGCCACCACTGGTGACGATTATTTGAACTGGTCCTGGGACTCCCCTAGCCTCAAACGAGGAACTGGTGTGGGTGTGTGAACATCGCCACTGGGGGGACAAAGGCAGCTGGGCGTGGTGAATCCAAGTCCCGGGCGAAGCCAGGTAGTAAAGCTAGTATAAAATAAAACAAAACCCTCCCCCCATCCTACCAGACAAAGCCCACTGAGGTATTAACTTATTTTTCAAAAGCGACCTGGCCACAAATGATGGCTCAACAAAGCGGCTTAACATTTGGACATTTATAAAGCAAAATAATCTAAATAGTCCAAAGGTGAAGGAGCAGCCCTGCAATGGCTTGCTCATACTACTGCTGGCACAAGGGCCTCCACTATAAGGATCTCTAGAGGTTATGTGGCCGACTCTTCCATGCTGACCAGGCATCTTGGAAGAGAATTAGCCACACTTTATCCCACCAGACTTAACCTTTTCCGTTCAGTTTTTCCTCCGATTCCATTCCGATTTATGTGCATGTCCATCATAAAAACGAAACCGGAATTAAAATAATATAACTTTATCAGGACTGACACTTCCACAAGCCCATGCGGGAGGGCGTGTGGCACAGCTTGGCACCAGCTATCATAGAGTGCGGTTGCGTCGCTACAGTTCTCTGCGGTGAGCACAAATTCTTAAAAAACAATGGCGCTATGCCTCCACATAAAATTAACACTGCGCCACTTGCTCATCTCGGAACGGGAAAAGGGTTGACCTGCCGATCAATTGTGATGTTGCTTTATACTGCTGGGTGGACCACCGTGCAAAAACAGGTTGTCATAGGGCGAGGGAGGCTACGTGGTGAACAGCAGAGGACAGTGCAGAAAAAAACATAGTTGTAGCTCTCACATCTATGATCCCTGCCTTCAACCAAGAAGCAGTGACCTATGTGATGAAGTACGGTCAAATAACCACCACAACCCACAGACATCAGGGGCTCATCACCCAGCCGTGGCTGGGTGTATATTCTTAGCATTCTCAATACAACAGTTAGGTGCCAAGTTCTCACATTCCAAAAATGGTCTTACGGGTGAGGCCATATTTTGAGAATTTTCTCCCTTCGGATTTCACCACATACTACTATTAAAGGCATCTTCAGGAGTTAAACTTTAACTAACAAAACAGAACTCTTTGAAGATACCACAGTATTGCATGGCAAAATCTTGAAAAAATAAGAATTGCCCAACAGGTGCCCTCACTTGGAAGACCGACCATACTTGGCTTATGAGTGGCTGCGAAACCTTCAGTGTTTGAAACATTTCCTTGCACCATTTACCTTTCTCTTTGTCCACTCGGATGACAACAACGCACTCGTTGCGACCGATGCGGATGAGCTTGTTGATTGAGCGGATGCGCCTGCGGGAGAGCTCGCTCAACAGGATCATGCCCTCGATGTTGTTGTACTCCAGCAGGCTCACATAGGCGCCCATCTCTGCGATGGACCGCACATTCACCATCACCACATCTTCCACCTCTGGAAATTTGTGCTGGTAGAATCTACACCCGAGAGGCATTTTGTAGGTCTGTGGAAACAAAAACCAATGGGATAAAAGGATGAGTTGACCATTAATAAACATAGCATCGAGAGCACATACAACATTAAAACATTACTTCTGTGATTATGACACATTGATAATAATACATGTAGCTTCCAGTAACTTCTTACCCAATTCAAATTCCCACTCACTACGACACTTCACGGTGTGAGGGACGAGCCAATTTAACATCATAGTTCGACCTGACAGGCAATGAGTGACAATGTAACATCACCCGAGTAACCTTGCTAGGAACCACTCTCTTGTCTTCTGAGAAACTGGGGAAGGGATCGTCTCACAACAGACACAGGGCCCACAAAAACAAGATCTTTAACTTATAACTCAAACTGGCCTCAAAACACTGTCAGTGCATCAGAAAAATTAAGAGCAAAGTTGAGTCCAATCTGCTGGCCACAGGCTCCACAGCACCCCTCAAGATATCAGCTCATGAGAGAGAATCCACATCAAACACAAGGGGAACAAGGCAGCAAAAGCACTGGCATTGACTTATGCAGAGATTCTAAAAGGCATAAAACACATTTCATTGCAGCTCTTGGTTTCACTCTCCTTTTCACCCGAACTGATATCAAGGATAAAACTGGGATCGGGAAAAGGCTGGTTTAGGGATCAGGGTATACTTATGGACAGTGATTGGCTGTAAACTTATTCAGAGAAGCAGTGTTTCCTATGGCAACACCATAAGGATCTGCAGTAGCATAATACCTCAATGTAGTTGAGATAAATTATCGATATTGAGATTGGTGACATGAAGGTCAGTGGCATTAAGTTAATAATTTCGCCAAATGCCACTTCTGTGAGCCATCCAAGCCATCCCAAACACCCGAACTGGCGGGCCATGCCAGGGAATGTGCTGTCGAGACCAACACTGCCGCTCTGTAAATACTGCTGTCGCCAACTACAATTAGTTTATATATACTCTGTGGTTCTTTAGTTTTTTTATGGCACACGGGAGTAACAATGAAGATGCTAATGGGGGTAAACGTAGGGATTAAGTGAGGTTTGGGATAATGTATGGTTAGGGATAGGATTGTGTTTGGGATACTGTAGGCTTAGGGATAAGAATGGTAAGGTTCGGTATAAAGTATGGTTATGGATAAGGTATGGTTAGGGATAAGGTTAAACTGGGATGGGGAAAAGGTTGGTTTAGGGATAAGGTTCTATTTATGGACAATGGTTGGCTGTAAACTATATTCAGAGAAGCAGTGTTTCATATAGCAACACCATAAGGATCGGGATCAGCATAGAACCTCAATGTAGTTGAGATAGATGATAGCCTTAAGTTGAGATGAATAATACTGTGATGAGCTTGATATTGAGAAGACTCACATTGAGAGGATTCCTATCGAATCGGTTGAGTGTCATTAACACCTGTATACTTGAGAATAAGTAGAATAGGTTCTACCCTTTTTCTGGCAACAAAACAGGTGTTAAGATGTTAAAACACTAAACTGAAACCTTTAACAAGGAATCATGTCTGCATTAACCACAATACTTGTGGTAAGAATGCAACCACAAGTATTGTGGTTAATGAAGACATGATTCCTTGTAAAAGGTTTCAGTTTGGTGTTAACACCTGTTTTGTTGTAAAAAAAGAGAGGGGAAACCTATTCTCATATTTTGGTACTGGCAAAAGAGGTCCCATGATGTACCTGTATACTTATTTAGGATAGTGTCTCATTCCACGAAAGAATAAAAAATATATACAAAGGACAACCACCAGTACTTGGAAAGTGTTTCGTCATTGACAAGATTCATGAAGGCAAAAAATACCCGTGGCGCACAAACCTGTCTGTATTGCCTGTACATATGTGTCACTGCGTGTTTTAGTGAGTACAGTATGTATATAGCCTTAGTCTGTCGTCTGCATGCATGTGGCGATATTTAGTTTGTCCTGTGCGAGATATTGGAGGTTAAGGTTTTGAGACGAGGTAGGCGGACTTCAACCGTAAAAGTCTCATGGGCATTTGTATGAGTTTATAGTAGTGGCGATACGGTTTATGGCTTGGCGAAACAATTCTGAGACGCTACATTATTTGCTTTACTTCAGATTATTGAGATGATTAATTGCGACTAAGTTTAGTCGGTTGATGCTGAAATGGTTTAAATTGTATTGAAAGGACATCAAGATATTTCGGTTTAAGTGAACGATAACCCAAACGCTTTGTACTAAGATTGCGTAATCCTACAAGGTTTCTATTGAGGTGGGTTGGAGCGGTGGTGCAGTGGTCAGCGCCCTGCGTTCGATAATTAATTGAACAGCAGCGGCGCGACCGATAACCGAATCAATCCTTGGGTCCACCTCGTTCCCCTTAGCCGCGCTGACCGGCGTGGTGAAGTATGGTCAAACAATCCCCGTATCCGGACACGTCGTTTCCAGGCTTTTTCTTCGAGCGAAGCGGACTGACACACAAGAAAAAGGGCCGCCCGTGTACACCATTGCGGCTGCTACGCGTGCCAAAAGCGTCTCTGTGCCGACGTTTCGCCCCGAGATGGCTGCGTGCTGCTGCTGAGCACGTGAACACGAGAGGCCTCGCCACCCATTACAGTCGGGGGGGGGGGGGGGGGCACGCACCCACACGCACCGACACGTACCCCCTAGCCACCATCTCGCTCCCGACCACCCGCCCGCCCCTTCACAACCCCCACAGAGCCCACCGTTCACGCAGCGAGCCGAGCGACTCACGGGGCGACAGGAGACGCGGAGGAGGCGGCGGCGACGGCTCCCGAGGCCCGGACTCTCACGTGCGGCCCTACAGCGCGGTCGGCAGAACCCGGCATGCAACGCGCGCGTTTCCGCTTCCGAGTCACGATCTCGCGCGCTTCACCTCATCCGGGTGATGTACACTGCGCTGACGTCACCCCAATGGACACCCCCTCCACCTCTCCCCCCTCCCCTCTCTCCCCCCTCCCCCCTCTCCCCCCTCCCCCCTCTCCCCCCCTACTCCCTCCCCCCTCTCCCCCTGTCCCCCCCTGTCCCCCCCCTCCACCTCTCCCCCCTCCCCTCTCTCCCCCCTCCCCTCTCTCCCCCCTCCCCTCTCTCCCCCCTCCCCTCTCTCCCCCCTCTCCCCCTCCCCTCCCCTCTCCCCCTCCACCTCTCTCACCCTCCTCTACCCCCCTCACCCCCCCTCTCACCCCTCCCCCTATCCCCCCTCTCCCCCTGCCCCCCTCCCCCTGTCCCCCCCCCTCCCCCTGTCCCCCCCCCTCTCCCCCCTCCACCTCTCTCACCCTCCTCTACCCCCCTCTCACCCCTCCCCCTATCCCCCCTCCCTCCCCCTGTCAAATTGCAGATGAATTTAACATGTTTCAATTAATAAATGTCCCCACAAGACCCTACCTAAAAAAATCCGGGACAGTCATGTCTGCTTGACGCCCTATTGACTAATGCCCCTCACAATTTCACACTGACTGGTGTTCTGGGTAATAACCTTAGTGATCACTCCTTCATATTCGGAGTGACATCATCAGCCAGACCCAAAGCCCCCCCCCCCCCTAAATTGGTTGATAAGCACTCCATGAGACACTTCAGCATACAGGCATTTACTAATGATGTGCTTCACTCGGATAAGGTCTGCGATATCCCCAACCTGACAACGGCTTGGGAGACCTTCATGTACACATTTCTCTAAATTCTTAACAAACATGCTCCGTTGGTTAGATTTATAATTAAAGGTAACCACCCACCATGGTTTGATCCTTTGATTACTAAGCTCACGAAAACTAGGGACAAGGCTTGGGCATGTGCTCAGAAAAGTAATTTGGTCAATGACTGACGAGAATACAGGATTTTAAGGAATAGATGCGTCAAAAAAATACGGCATTCATAAAATTCTTACTTTTCCTCCGCTCTCCTGGAATCACATGGCAATGCCAGGATCTTCTGGAAAACAATCAAATGTATCGAAAAGGCATCTAACACAGATAATCTGCCTGTTGTGCTTAACCGAAATGGGGACTTTTTCAGAGTTCCAAAAAATAGTCGACAATTTTAACCTAGTTTTTCTGAAGCTGGTGACCTTTTTGATAATGTATTGGGAGTCACTTCTGCTCATGCAATTTCATACACCCCTGTCCAAATATTAAAAGAATTTAGTTTCCAGCCTATCCACGAAAGTAATGTTCTGAAACAACTGTCCTACCTCTACCGGAGTGGATAGTACAGTGAGGGAAAAAAGTATTTGATCCCCTGCTGATTTTGTACGTTTGCCCACTGACAAAGAAATTATCAGTCTATAATTTTAATGGTAGGTTTATTTGAACAGTGAGAGACAGAATAACAACAACAAAAATCCAGAAAAACGCATGTCAAAAATGTTATAAACTGATTTGCATTTTAATGAGGGAAATAAGTATTTGACCCCTCTGCAAAACATGACTTAGTACTTGGTGGCAAAACCCTTGTTGGCAATCACAGAGGTCAGACGTTTCTTGTAGTTGGCCACCAGGTTTGCACACATCTCAGGAGGGATTTTGTCCCACTCCTCTTTGCAGATATTCTCCAAATCATTAAGGTTTCGAGGCTGACGTTTGGCAACTCGAACCTTCAGCTCCCTCCACAGATTTTCTATGGGATTAAGGTCTGGAGACTGGCTAGGCCACTCCAGGACCTTAATGTGCTTCTTCTTGAGCCACTCCTTTGTTGCCTTGGCCGTGTGTTTTGGGTCATTGTCATGCTGGAATACCCATCCACGACACATTTTCAATGCCCTGGCTGAGGGAAGGAGGTTCTCACCCAAGATTTGACAGTACATGGCCCCGTCCATCGTCCCTTTGTTGCGGTGAAGTTGTCCTGTCCCCTTAGCAGAAAAACACCCCCAAAGCATAATGTTTCCACCTCCATGTTTGACGGTGGGGATGGTGTTCTTGGGGTCATAGGCAGCATTCCTCCTCCTCCAAACACGGCGAGTTGAGTTGATGCCAAAGAGTTCCATTTTGGTCTCATCTGACCACAACACTTTTACCCAGTTGTCCTCTGAATCATTCAGATGTTCATTGGCAAACTTCAGACGGGTATGTATATGTGCTTTCTTGAGCAGGGGGACCTTGCGGGCGCTGCAGGATTTCAGTCCTTCACGGCGTAGTGTGTTACCAACTGTTTTCTTGGTGACTATGGTCCCAGCTGCCTTGAGATCATTGACAAGATCCTCCCGTGTAGTTCTGGGCTGATTCATCACCGTTCTCATGATCATTGCAACTCCACGAGGTGACATTTTGCATGGAGCCCCAGGCCGAGGGAGATTGACAGTTCTTTTGTGTTTCTTCCATTTGCGAATAATCGCACTAACTGTTGTCACCTTCTCACCAAGCTGCTTGGCGATGGTCTTGTAGCCCATTCGAGCCTTGCGTAGGTCTACAATCTTGTCCCTGACATCCTTGGAGAGCTCTTTAGTCTTGGCCATGGTGGAGAGTTTGGAATCTGATTGATTGATTGCTTCTGTGAACAGGTGTCTTTTATACAGGTAACAAGCTGAGATTAGGAGCACTCCCTTTAAGAGTGTGCTGCTAATCTCAGCTCGTTACCTGTATAACATACACCTGGGATCCAGAAATCTTTCTGATTGAGAGGGGGTCAAATACTTATTTCCCTCATTAAAATGCAAATCAATTTATAACATTTTTGACATGCATTTTTATGGATTTTTTTGTTGTTATTCTGTTTCTCACTGTTCAAATAAACATAACATTAAAATTATAGACTGGTCATTTCTTTAGTCAGTGGGCAAACGTACAAAATCAGCAGGGGATCAAATACTTCTTTCCCTCACTGTAGGTTGTGTTATGTTCGTGTTGTTGTGTTAATAAATAGTGCTGCTCCCAAGTTAACGTCTGCCACTCAGTTGGACTCACTACACATATATTAAGCCTCAGTGTTCTGGTTATTCCTTTGGCTGGCACATGACTTCCCCGCTGAAAGCCATTATTCATCTTTGCCCAAATCCATTAGTCATAGCTTCACTAAATGATACAAAATTCAAGCCAGACTTTCATAGATGGAATTTTAGTAGCTGGGGCCAATTGGTTATTTTAATCGTTGCTTTCTATCACGAATGTAAATTACAAATATGGAAGCACTGCAGTACATTATTTCACTCAAAACTGTCAAGTCATTCAAGGTCAAAGATCAAGGTGTTAACTTGGCCAAAGTCGTTGATACCACCACCTCACTTTACCAATGCTTTCTCCCCTCGAGTAGATCCCACAGTTGTTGCACAATGGATACGCGTATTGCACCATCTGGCTTTAGGTCTTTTCCTTGGTCGTATGACTCGTGGAAATCGGCCTTTCCCGCATCTTGCGCACACGTCCTTCCCAGCGGAGCCATTTTTGCCAAATCATGTCTGCAATGATTTGCTGTAACATTATAGTCCAGAATTCTTCATTATTTCTTCTGTCTTGCCACACGATTCCCGGCATCCGTCTCAGACACGTAGACTCAAATGCCAGCAACTTATTTTCGAGCTATTTAGGGTCCACGGCTGTTTCATCCATAATCTCCAACAAGACCTTAACCAACATAGAACAGAAGAGTTTCAATGGATAATTCTACACTATTGCACATTCACCTTTGAGGTTTACTCATCAATCATCACTGACCAATTACAATCATCCCATTCACAAACATTAACCATCTGCGGTATAAAAAATAGATGTACTTTATATATATATATATATAAACACATTTACAGTGTCCTCGATGTAAAAATGAACAAGCTCCCATTTTTAAAATGTATTTTAAAAGTGCAATATATTTGAAGAAACGTACATTATCTTAAGTGGCTTAGTACACTATGCTATATTTTTTTAGCAAAGTAATTAAGTCTCCATTAAATCCCCTGACGTTTTTGGCAATTGCACGCAGATGGAATTTTCCCATGCATACACATGTTAATATTGAATTTCAGAATGTTTCCATTTCACTGCCCACAAACTATGCCTTTACACATTGTACAAAACACAAGTCATTTAATGAAAATACATTGACTCTACAGTACAGGTTTAAATTGTGGCTGAGCGAAAGTGCATTGGCTAAAGCACTGTGTTATGAACCTGTCACCTGAGTTAAATTCCCGCCTGCAAATTATTATTATCACATATTTATATTTTTGCTCAGGCATTTCACATTTATCTTCTACAGTTTTAATAGAGTTATATCATACTTTATTCATACTTTGTTACGTACAAAATGCAACTAACTTAACATACGAATGCCTCGAAAATGTATGCACTTCAAGCTTGCATATAATGGATTATTACATGTTTGAGATTAATCCTATTTCAACTGAAATTCATATCAAAATTCCCACTTTCTGAGCAAAAATGGCCATATTTGTAAATAAATGTGAAAAGGCACAGCATGGGATACAGGGACAGTAACTCAATGACTCTGAGCACAAATCACTGCCTCCAAGGGCTGTGGAGTTTTTATATTGTCGTGCATGAGATTTTACCGCTCTTTGATGTGTTTTTTGGGTTGCACCATGTGCTGCTCTGCATAATGTCAGAAATGTCGCTCCACATGCTGGGAACATTCAAGAAGCTTGTTGAGGAAAGAAATGAATGCTACACTACTGCTCAGTTCAGTTCCTGAAGAAGCTCTCAGTATGTGAGACCAGGTAGAGTGCTGTCACTCTACCATGGTAGCCTTTTCCCCTCCACATTTAGAAACATGCATTTAGAGTATTTGGCTGCTATACATTTCCACATGATAAGTCACTTCGTTGAGCTATCATTTGTGGCCAGGTCGCTTATAAAAATAGCTCAGTGAGCCTTACCTGGTAATATTAAAAATGGTTTGTTAAATGGTTAAAATCGTTGGGCGCAAATGATCTTTCAAGCA